CAATGATGTGCCTCAAATCACCTTTCACTGATGTATACTTTCGTATTGATAATTCATGGTAGTCATGTACAATAGGTTCAAACTCATCATGTTCATCATTTCTTACCTATAAATCTCTGCAGGTCATTTTCACACTTCCTAGCAAATCACAATGTCCAGGTGAGCTATTTTTAAAACAGGCTCGCTAGATTCGAATGTATTTTTTGGGCGGGGGGCTCGCTGATCCCGGTGGGCAGTCTGTTAGTCATCCATGTCCTACATTTACATATGCTAGGCGGCGCAGCGACATGGAGGTTAGCACAATCTTTTTACAGTTCTGAGGTTGGGGGTTTGAATTCCTGCATCTTGCAAAAAAACATGCATGTTAAGTTCACTGAAGACTTGAAGTAGTCCTTAAGTGTGGATGTAAATATGGTGGGATCCAGCTCACCTAAACCCTATTGAGGATAAGCAGTATACAGAAAATGGATAGATGGACATTACGAAATAGAATACAGCTTTTAAATTTGGGATTTAACCTTCAAAGTTGAAATGATAAAAGGAACTTTGGCAAGACGCGTTAAGAGCCATTTCCACCCCAACAGCCCAAGTTAGGTCAGGAATGTTTTGTTGTCCAAAGTTTGTGTAACAGTCATTTGTTATTCTTGAATGTGTTGTTGTCCAAAGTTGGTGCAGCTGTCGTTTGTTATTCTGCTCAACATTGTGTCCCTGTGTCAGCCTTGTCCCTGCCAACAAGTCACTGCACTTTTTTTTTCCTTCTTTTTTAACTACAACATGATTACTGACATCCTCTGCATGTTAATTCATGCTAAAATCTACTGCCTTAAAAATAATAATTCCTCCTTTGTGTTGTTTTTTTGTAGCTGTGAGGTTATAAATTGATTGACATGAAAAATGATATGAAAATGGCAAACTAGCTCCGCCTAATGATACAACTGAATGAAAACCGTTTGATGATGGATGCTTGTTTTTTTTAGCGTTAGTACCTACCTACTCTTTTCATGTAGCTGCATCCATCCATCCGCGCATTTTGTAATCCGCTTATCATGGCAAGGGTCGCGGGCGTGCTGGAGCCTATCCCAGCTGTCTTTGGGCAGTAGGCGAGGTACACCCTGAACTGGTTGCCGGCCAATCGCAGGGCACACATAGACGAATAAACATCCGCGCTCACATTCACACTTGGGGACAGTTTTGTGTGTTCCATTAACCTGCCATGCATGTTTTTGGAATGTGGGAGGAAACCGGAGCACCCGGAGAAAATCAGAAAACGCAGGCACAGGGAGAACATGCCAACTCCACACAGGAAGGCAGGAGCCGGAATCGAACCCTGCACCTCTGCACTGTGAGGCGGACGTGCTAACCAGTTGTCCACCGTGCCAGGAATACGGTATAAAACAAGGGGAAAAATGAAAGAAAACAAAGGATGAACTAAAAATATAGCAGTCCATGCACGTCACATTCTTGAAATCGGTTTTCCTTTGATTACTGAATGTATTTTGTCATGTTCATATGAGTGATTAAGATTTTCCATACCGTGACACGACTGACAACTTGACCACAGCACAACATGAGAGGTTGCACAGTAATGTGTGAAAATTACAAATGGGAAGGAAATGCATAGCAAAACCAAGAGTGAGACTGAGAGTAAACAATACGTCACGAGGGAAATTTGCTCTGAAGGCGCCATGGGCGGGGATTATGAAAATGAGGGAAGCCCTTTTCCTTTTACTTGTGATTCGTTCAGCCGAAGAGGAAGTCATCGCGTACAATGATTCAATCGGACTCAAGCAGACAAATGGTTGCCTCATATTTGTGTCCGAAGATCACACTATTGCTGAATGCAAGTTATTTTGAAGCTGACAAATATGCATTGGGTAATTGGCAGGGGCCCTAATATTGATCCTTGGAGGAGACCTCTACGACCTGGGCAAGAGACCACAGAGTAACTTCAATGTTTTGCCTTTGTATTTGCAGTAGGCTACTGCAAATCAATTCAAATTAAACAAATTAAATAACACTGTGATTTTATACTGTATAAATAATTTACGTTTTGGGCTTCATTCAGTTGTTGACGTGGTTAATTTATTTTTGGAGTAACTTACTTAATGACATGAAAGGGAGAAAGAATAACAGAGTTATGCGGCTGTAAAGCCACAGATGTTTGATGTTCGTGACCACTTCTTGAAACACAGACAAAACTGGCTGCTGCCTTGACTACTAAAAAGTAAAGTACAGAAAAAAAAAAAAACGAGACCTCCCTCCAAATAAGGAGACCGCACTGATTTGCCAAAGCGAAACAGCCACAACACAAAGAAGTAGGTTGAACCCCTATGATGGTTTGTTTTGTGTTGTTTCCGGTGATATTGGGCAGCTCTTTTGATATTTTGAAATTGCCAGAGAATCTTTTACAAAATACACAGTAAACTGTCATTTATAGTGCAGGATACATTCCAGACGGACACAGGATGATAATGTAAAATACCAAGGGTGATTTAAAAAAAAAAAAAAAAAATTTTACCCCTCTGACATAATCTTACACACACACACACACACACACACACACACATTTACTGCAACACAACGACATGTCACACCTTAGGACCAACCTTGGAATGTTAGGTAACTTCCCAAACTGAATAACCTGTATCAGTGCCAAGTTAGGAATTTACCTCTGGATAATTATCACATCCATTCTGTTTGAACAAAAAAAACAAAAAACAAAAAAAAAACACTTGCATATTTTCTTATCCAAGAGAATAAAACATGTAATTGTTCAAAATACAACCTGAAGTTCGGCATACAATTTGACTCCTGCAAATTTGCGGTTCAGCACCTGCGGAATCACATATTTGCAGATCTTTTTTTTTTATTTTTTTTTAAATGTTATCATTGTTCACATTTTAAAAGTATCTTTTGGTTTCTTTATTTCGTGATATTGATCCCAGTCATGCGAATCATGAGACTCCTGGTATATTCCCCGTAAAGTGCACAGCTGAGTTTGAATCTTTATGAAATTCCCTGTTTTGTTTGCATGCGGGGTAAATGTGGATGAGATACAGTTGTATTTCTTAAAATATTGCAAAATGTACTTGGGATCTTCCATCCAATGTGTATTTTTAGTCTTAGGAAGGAAAGGAGTATGATAAGATAGAAAGTGGATATTTGGAGGAAACAATGTGCGATTGCACAAGTAGGAACAGTTATTTTTTTTCAACTTATTAAATACAGAGGAAAAAGGGGAAATTCAGCTGATCTCCTTTTCGTGTTGCACAGCACACAGAGAACCAAATCACATACTTGCATGTTGCAGGCATTTTAGGCTTGAGCGGGGGGAAGAATAAGAACTAGTTCTGCAGCAGGACTCGAATTAAAAAGACAAAAACAAAAAACGAAGAACTTACATTTCCAAAATCATACTACAATCAGACAGTAACTCACAATAAGTGGAAAAAAGATCTGGACATTGCTCCTGATGCCAGCTTCTGGACCCAAATCTGCATCCTCCAAATTTATATATCCACTCACTTATACATAGATGCACTGCATGCAAATGCATCTGAAACAAGCATCTGTTGTATTTTCTTGTTTGTTTGTTCATTTTTATCTTTATGCACCTTAATAGAAATGTATTATTTTTTTAAAAAACGCTCAAAGCCCAAGCAAGTCCTAAGAGATGTGTCACTGCTGCTACAAAGTTACTGTGTAATGAAAAATTCCTTCCCAAATAGGCAGGAAAAAAAATACCATGAGTGACTTAATTCACGTTTCATGTAGATTGACTCTAAGTTTCTTACCGAGAAACTTCCTGCCTTTCGAATGATTCATGTTTCAAACCACAAGATGCGGTAATCGTGTGGGAGAGAGCGCGAGAGAGAGAGAGAGAGAGGGAGAGAGAAAAAAGTTAAAACCCGAGATCAGTCAGGAACCGAAAACATGACCGCTAATATAAATTGATGGTGGAGTAACATAGTAGCATGAAGTTTTGGCACTCAAGAATTTTTTGGCTCGCGTTCACTGCTCCTGCTCCAAGGTATGCCTATCTTTCCTATTTGGGTGAAATAGGGGTAATTAATTGTCAGCATGTCTAGAATCAAGACAAATGACTTGATTTGAACTTTTTAATTTTTAATTGAGCGTATCATTGTATGTTGTGCGGTAAACAATGAGGACAATTTTGGTGACGGATTCAATTCGGTGAAGTTTGCTTGAACTGTTTAAAGTGTTAATTGAGGACAGGCTGCATTAATTCAAATGTATTTGTATCTGTGCTTATTGCATTTTAGACTAATCCGCATAACGTAGATTCGGAGGACAGATGCTACCACAGGAAAATTTCGGCATATACAGCTCTCTCTCTTAAAAAAAAAAAAAAAAAAAAAAAGACGACTCCAAGACGAAAAAGAGTTGTCTATAAATTTTAGAAATTCTGTCAACATAGTAAATATTGTTTTCTATTTTTGCACAACTCCCCCCACTACAAAATTACAAAATGTTTTTCTTTTTCAGTATACACAGTACTAGAGCATTGGGTTTCAAACTTTTTACACCGAGTGGGACCATTATGATGAAAGTTATAAAACAGTAGCGCAGTAGACATGAGGGTTCATCAAATACAAGACAGGGTAGGGGTTTGAACAGTCACACTGCATTTAAACGGAGAGGGTGGGGGGCAGAAACATCCGCACATCATTAATTATTAATGATTAAGTTACATGGAAATTGCGCCTACATAAAAGTAAAAAAGGTTCAATGACCGAACTGTAATTATTTCGGCATATACAGCTCTCTCTCTTAAAAAAAAAAAAAAAGATGACTCCAAGACGAAAAAGAGTTGTCTATAAATTTTAGAAATTCTGTCAACATAGTAAATATTGTTTTCAATTTTTGCACAACTCCCCCCACTACAAAATTACAAAATGTTTTTCTTTTTCAGTATACACAGTACTAGAGCATTGGGTTTCAAACTTTTTACACCGAGTGGGACCATTATGATGAAAGTTATGAAACAGTAGCGCAGTAGACATGAGGGTTCATCAAATACAAGACAGGGTAGGGGTTTGAACAGTCACACTGCATTTAAACGGAGAGGGTGGGGGGCAGAAACATCCGCACATCATTAATTATTAATGATTAAGTTACATGGAAATTGCGCCTACATAAAAGTAAAAAAGGTTCAATGACCGAACTGTAATTGAAAGTGAAAGTTACGACTTTGGATCATTTAAAACACACTGACTTGTGTAAGTAATGCGCTATTGAAATAGAGCCGCCTTGCCTCACCTAGCTGCTTTCGAGTAGCACGCTGCCAGAACTATGTCAAAATGTTATTTCACAATGCTGAATCATGCTTCTTTTTTTGGCCAAAATTATGTAATTTTTTATTTTTTGTCTGCAGCGGTACACAGACTGAATAGTAGTGCAGAAGTAGTAGTGCACCAACGCGATCATGTATTTTAGCTCGATGTAAAACGATAACGAAACAACGCTCACTGCTATGTTGCTACTTGCTTTCCAGATGATTGCTGGTTGCTGTGCTCTCTTCCTTCTTTGTTGCATACTGAACGGTACCGAGTCTTCAAATCCATCACTGGGTATCCACAAGGCGAGATATAGCAACTCCTTCCGCCTCGCAAGGTCCACCCGAACCCGTGTGCAACAGCTGCTGAGTAAATATGTAAGTGGTGAAAAACCCTCGCCAATCGCTACTGTGCCTGCTCATCTTAACGCTTATCAAAAAAAATAAATAAAAATGTTGGGATTGCAGAAGGAGCAGCAGTTAGGAAACAAGGACTTTGAGGACAGAAGTGGTCATTTGGATGACCTGCCATTGCTCTCTACGGACTTTAACAGCTGGCTCCAGCTTACGGTCAGTCACTTTTTCAAAAGACAAATCGTGCACGAGAAAACAAGTTACCTCCATCTGACTTCCTGGTTCCGTTTGGAAACGGTTTCCCTGGCTAAACTTTGGCTGGTTTGCGTCCAGGATTGGGAACGACTACAGGCTGCCTTCTCCGACATGCAGGCCTACAGGAACAGGCTGGAGTGGAAGAGGAAAGAGCTGGAGAGGGAGGCAAAAGAGAAGAAGGGAGTGCAGACGCTCCTCAACACTTTACCGAAGAACATCAAACACGTTGAAATGGACCTGAGGGACCTGATGAGCCACGTCAGCAATCATGTATGCTCACAATCATTTGACCCCCGTTTAAGATCAGGCATAATCGGAGCAACTATTAACACTTGTGATTTATTTCCTTCTTCAGATGAGTTACATCAAGACGTCCAACAGGACATCAAACCTTCCCACCGTTTGGACACCTTTGAACCCGTCATCGATTTCGAAAACGCTGTGGGAAAAGCGTGTGGATGGTTACATCATTTTACGGGATCTTGACCTGTACCTCACCAAGTTGGCACGAGACTTCCTCCTCCTGGCTTCTAAAGCACAGTAAATCATGCAGGGACAAAAGGAAGAGTTTGGCTGTTGAGGGGTTATCTCGCACTGGTCGTAGGTCACCGCAGTGAACTATTAATAGACTAATGAGCATCTCAGCGCTTCTCTGGGCATTTCCCCGAGTTTCTGTCTTGCCTCTGACTGTAAATTTGCAAGAAGGCTCCCACAACTGACAGTGCACATGACAACATCCTGTTTTGTCACCCAGGCCCCTTCATCGACTGGACTTTCCAAAGACACAAGATATTTGCTATTTATTTGACTTATTTATTGGATTGATTGCTTTATTTATTTTACAAAGACAGCGACACAGTGTTTACATGACATTTGATATTTAAAGTATAATATTTATTTATATATGGCTTTCAATAAAAAGATGAAATGTGAGGACTTCATGTTTCGATGTCATCGATCATTACCGGATATTATTTTTCAAGACAATTTTGCATAGCGTATTTCCTCAAATAGTGGCCTCCGTTCTTGAAAGTCACTGTACTTCAATGAATCACATGGTGCATCATTCACCCGAACATCTGCAACACCCCAGTCATCCCTCATTGGAGTGGTGAGAAAGAAAAATTGACGAGAAGTTGGAGCGAAAGCTATAAAGTGCATTTGTCCATGCCGGCAAACAAGCGCAAAGGAAAAGAAAGCAATAGAGATTGAGAATATATTACTATTATATTTCTGTGTATCGATAGCGGTTGTCTTCTTTCGGTGTGTAGATGAGATGCAGCCAATCCCACCTGAGTATGAACAAGAGATGAGGCACATGCCGGACTGCTTGCCAGCCATCCCTCACGTCACATTTGACCATTCACAATCACAATTGTGAACACTTTCAAGTCCTTGGCGAACTAAATTTGCATGTTTTTTGGAATGTAAGAGGAAGCCCGAGTACAGAGGGAGATCATACGCCAAACATGGACGCTGCAGGCCAAGATCTAAAGCCAGAATCTCAGAACTGTGAGGCAAATGTTGGAACAATTTTTGGTGGAAAATGATTAATTATTAATAACATTATGCATTATTTTTGTTAGCATTAATGGCTAAAAGAAGCTTGGGACGATACCCATTGGTTTCTCAGGAAATAAACGCAGTGGGCCACTATAAGAGGAATGGCAGTATGATTGAATGAGGGATTTTGAATATATATTCGGTGTGCTTCAAGCGCATGAAGAGCAGTGAGTGTTAATCCTCCTGTTAGCCAAGTGTTAGCGATAGCATTTTTCTGGTTTCGCGCTTCTTCATGTGGTGTTGATTCGAGGAGCAGTCTAGGACAGAATCAAACAGAATTCGTTCTTAAGTAGGCTGGTTTTATTCAAGTGATTTTAAATAAGAAGAGCTGCAGACTCACCACTAGCAGGTGTCCTCTTTTGCCTTTAGCCACCTTGAACTCGGAGCCCCTGACGAAATCGATGATGCCCTCATTGCCTCGTGCCCCCGCAAAGCTCACGCTAATAAAGTGAAAGCGCTGTTAAAATGAGGCTGTTTACGGATCTTGGGTTCAGCGGTCAGAGGGGTCCTCACCTGCCGGGCTTGATGTTGACGTGGTTTAACATGCGGGCCATCAGGGCTAATTTTGTCACTAGTTCAATCACGTGGTTGCAGTGCAGCAGCACATCACCCTGGGAAAGATAAAGGTGGATTTAGGATGTTCCTCATTTTTGTAAACAATTAAGCAGATCTTGATTGCTGTACTTTTTGCTTGTTGTCCTCACTGGGCAGGTGCAGAACAACCATTCCATCGTTGAGAGAGCTCACAGAGATACCTGCGCATTTCAAGAGGAAATCTGGATTCACAAAGAAACTCACAATACAAAAAAACAAAAACAGACTGTGGATTGCAGTCCCCTCTGGAACTCCACGTGATCCTGCAAAGGTGTTACAGAAGCCAAATGCTGAACAAATAACGAAATGAGGGCTACTACCTCACAGCATACTGTATCTGAGCATTCCATGGATACGAACAAGCAAGTTGGTACTCTAGGGCAATGTTTCCCAACCTTCTTTGAGCCAAGGCACACACCGCACAAAATGAAAATCTGTCACAGTGCAGTATATTGAAATAACGAAGATCCCGTCTTAATTTACTCACAAATTTACTTGGTGTAAAATCTTGGCCTGTTTGACCCCAAAAGTATTACAGTCTTCCGTTGTAAGAATGGCGAGAGGTTAACCGCACCTACTGCCATCTAGTGGAAGAGCAGATAATTGTTCTGCGGATTACGAGACATGGCGAATTTTTTTAATTGCCTCGCATACGCATTTGTGATGCATAAAAATAAGAATACAGTAAAACACATTAACTTGTGAACCAAACATCAAAATTAAAACCAACAGCGATTAAAAAAAGAAAGAAAAAAACAGAGCAAAAAGGAGTCGGAGGAAGTAAGAGAAGTACATAGATAGATGAAGAAAAACAAACAGAGTAAAAACATTTGTTGTTGTAAATCAACAAATAATAATTTCCACACTAGTTAGGTGAAATTTGTTGATCAGAGAATTCTGATTGGCTGCTCGACATGCTGATCAATCTGACCTCCAAGTGCCGCATAGTCGATCCTCTGCTTGATCTTGGTCTTGTCCACCAGTACGGCGAAGGTGTTGGAAAGGAGGAGCTGACGCGAGCGTGGCTTGAACCCCCTCCTGTCATATTTTGTCACGGGGACGCCGTACTGTGGCGCAAAAACACATGCAGCACGCTGTTGCAGTTCAAACATTGGGAGGCATTTTTTTTTACCTGCACTTTGTCACTGCCGAGAGTCTGGAGAACTTTGAGATTGATCTGCTCACGATCTATTTTAAAAAAAAAACAAAGAAAAAACAGCGAGGGAGTGAAGGTATATGTGTTATGTTAGACTGGATTATTGTGAGGAAAGTGCTGAAACACGCACCGATCCTGGTGTCCAAAAACAGCCTGCCAACGCTCTGAGGGTAGCTGTCTTTCTGATCCTTGAAGATCTCACTGGCAACAACCTTCTGCGTCATCTAGACAAGAATCGTGTCAGAGCAGCATTAAAAATTGCAAACAGGACCACAGTGGAATCTCAATTGTCACTTTCACTTACTTGATTCTTCCATTCAGGCTGGATCCTCATGCAGTACTTCATGACCATGTTGCGCATGTGCAGTGCGCGAAGGTATTCTGAGGCCTGCAGAGGAAAACAGATCAATGGTGGATTTGTAACTACTCGCCCTACAACACATCTGCCGAATGTACCTCAGTGACAGAGGGAGGAGATGCCAGCCAGCTTTTGTCCAAAACGCTTGTGGGCAGATTTTTGCTCAGCTTCATAAGGAAGGAATAACGCACGTGATCCAAGAAATAGTCATTGTCGGGACAGTAGTCCTCATGACGGTAGATAAAGCCTTTTATGAACCTGAAATAAAAACAGATGGAAGGACAATCTAACATGACACTTCTTGGATGTACCCGTGGAATCTAAAGATGATGAGTTTGATGAGGACACAGGAGCACTATTTCGATTGACAAGATCTCATTGCGTCGTCAGCACTTCGATGAGAGCTCATTTGAAAGTGCAGGTGTACCTCATATTTTTACAGATTAAAAAAAACTAAAGAGCAACGAGAGACAGTTTTGCACCTGCGAATCAACTCCGCAGCCAGTCGACGCCTCTTTGCCCTCCGGCGTCCTTTCATCCCTCGCCATGCGGACTGGATCACTATGACTGTACATACACACAAAGGCATTCTCAGCAGTCATCCAAAGAAATAATGATGCTCAAAGCATATACGGCAGTCACATGCAAGGGTTAAAACAAGTGTAACGCGCACTGACTTGCGTGTCTGATACGTTTGTATTTGGCTCTCTCCCTGTAGCCTCGCCAGGATGTCTGCAGCGTCAAAGCTGGAGCACAAAAGAAGTTCCTCATGAATGAGAGTGGTGAAATGATCTGGATTGCTTTGGATTTGTGTGAGGTACATTTCATTGTCACTTACCTATCTCGGGCTTTTTGGCTTGAAGCGCATCTTCAGTCAGAAAGAGAGTTTTGGGGAAACGGATGAATATTTTGGACCTGCATGCAATGAAGGAGTACAACTTACAGGACTGTAAAGTTTGTCACAGATCAAAAGAAAGGATGGTGTGAAAGTGGATGAAGGATGCTTTGCCTGCCAAGTTTGTACTCCTCTTCTTGGTAGCCGAGGTGGTTGACCAGTGTGGCCACACCATCGTGGAGTCTGCCATACCAGTTAGGCCACGTCTCCGGACACAGCGGTTTGTACCTGAGGGTGTTAGCATATAAATATAATGATACGGCCGAGCTGAAGATACACTAAGCCCAGAAAAACCGTGACTGGAATAGTGAGTCACCTCTGCAGGAAGGCTTCAAAGCTGCGTCTATAGGCAAAGCCAGCTCTCCTGACTCTAAGATTCTCCATCAGGCCTAAATACCTGACCTGGTGTCTGACCAGAACTTCGTCAAAGTGACCTGCAAGTGGAGACCGTATCAGCAAATTTGACAGTGCTTGTGCAAGATGTGTCATTCTTGTAATGTGTGACAGTGCCAGCAGACAGTTATAAAGGCGTCATCGGGATGTGGCAATCAGAAGTATATACTTGCTAGCTGTCCTTTGTACTGTACCTCCAACAAGGAGGTTAGCATGATACAAAAAGGAAACCATTAAAATTTGGAGTGGCTCTGCTTTAACAGATTCTTCTTACGGTATATCTCACTCTTTTTCTGCAGCGACATCAAGTCTCTAAAATAACACAAACGCATGATCCTGTTTGGTTACACTTCGAGCTACCGTACAACAACATAATGGTCAAAAACAAAATGGGTCATAATTATCTTGGGAAAAGAATTTAGCACGGCTCGGCCATTTTAATTCTGAGGTTTGTGCAGGTCTACCGAATGAAGTGTCATCAGAGTGTATACAAGTTCACCTGGCTGCTTGGTATCATTCGGTTTGATACAGCGTACGTATGACGGTTCCTTCGTCATGAGGATATCCATTAGTCTCGATAGGCTATTTTTAAAGTGAGTGGCAGCCTAGAGAAACGTAAACAACGACAAAAAAAGTTTATTTATATATACACATATATATAGTAATTGGTCAAAGAGTATATACATATCAAACTTGATTATTTCATTTCACAGAGAGAGAGAGAGAGGGGAAGGAAGGAAGGGAGAGAGAGAGAGAGAGAGAGAGAGAGAGAGAGAGAGTGAGACAGACAGACAGACAGGGAGTGCGAGACAGAGAGCGAGAGAGAAAGCTCCTACCATCTGTGGGCGTTTCTGGTCCGTCACTTCCTCTCTGGAGAAACACTGACTTATGATCTCGTTGTCTGACTGGCACATGATCTGAACACAGGCCAAAACCAATGATCCATGTCAACACAGTGGGAAACACGCTTTTTAGCCAATTACTAATGTTGTTTACCTCTTTCAGAGTCCTGTTCAGTGAGTCATTGTTCTTCTCAAGGAAACCTGAATGACATCAAAAATGACATCAGCTTGTTTTTTTTTTTTTTTCATTTTTCGGTTGCAGCAATACACTGTAATGATTTTAAAAAAGAATGAATGAATGCTTATTCGCTACCATCAACGTTGTAGTTGACCTCCCCAGCGTAGTGCAGCAGCCGAAACTCCTCTCTACTCATTACCTTCCGAGTTTTGCCATTTGCCAGCTTGTGACTGCAAGACACACGTGGACAGTCACAAACAAACTGTTCAGTGGCCCGTAGATCGAAAAAGACAGCAGTACTTTGATCATTTTCACTCATACGTGACAAAATGGGGATGGCCGCCAAGCGTGTCCTCCAGTTTCTCTAAGAATGAGGCATCACTTGTCTCTCCGGGTCTCAGGCACTCCTCATCCTGAAAGACAGGAACGCTACTCAACTGATAACAACACCAGCAGACAAGCAGACAGTTCAGACAAGGCGTCGATATACACACCAGAATGGCAATGATGCCCTTGTGCCTCGCCTCGATCAAGTCACAGATGATTTTGTTGTCAAAGTACGGCACCATCTCCCACTGAAAGTCGGGCGGCGTAATGTTTGCGTTAAGAGTGGAAATGTGCCCAACGTCCGCATTTTGAGATCTATAAAGCACTCACGGCAATTCCCTCTGTTGTGTACTCCTCTTGCTCGGATCCGAGCGTGAGCTCAATAAAGAGCTGCTGGAGCTTCTCGCTGCAGTAGTTGATGCAGAACTGCTCAAAACTACAGGGAAAGAACGAAACGAGGTGTATTTGTTGCAACATATTTAGCGTGATAGACAAAGCAAAATAACGGCGTGTCAGACCTGTTGCGCTGTAGGACCTCAAAGCCATAGATGTCCAAAAGCCCGATCACTGGGAAGGCTTTATTGCTATGGTCCATGTCATCCTTTATAACAATAGAGTAGACAATAGACATGTGATGACCTTGTCACAGTTGGCTTTGTCTTTGTGATTAAAAGAATGGCTGCACCTTCAGAGCAAGAGACTGATTGATCTTATCCACCAACCAAGTGAAGGCCCGACCGTAGACAGCTTTAGCTAAGGCGTCTCGGGCAGATATTGCTTGCTCAAAGTTGATCGGGATGATCATCTGCAATGTAAGTGAGAAGCGAAACTATAAAATCGCTCTAAACACAAACGCCCCCAAATAAAGAACAATAGTGTCTTTACCTCCTCCCCCTTGGCTGTGAATTTTCTGTGAGTAAGAGCCTCGCTGAGGGATGAGGCTTGAAGACCCAGCAGCTGCAAAACAAGAACACATCTGTTCGGAAAAAAAAATTACATCTGCCAATACTCTGTGGGATAAATCTAACCTTCGCCACATTTGCTATCGGCATCTCAGTGGTAATGTGCGTTTCACCTTCCTCGCCTTCTCCAAACTGAATGTTTCCCAGATGGAGAACGCTGGCAGTGATATTCAACAAATTCTGACAAAAGACCCAGAACTCACATTGGTGAAAACAAGCAGTATATAAGAGGGAAGAAGAGTTGTACTTTTGGAGATCTAAACCTTGACTGTGTTCCGGATTAAGCCAAACACATACAGCGGAGTGATTTTGACCAACCTGCAGGTCTTCCTCAGTGAAGCCAAGCACAGAAAGGGCATTCATCAAAACCTTCCAATTATTCTTGTCACTCATGGAGCTGACTTTGGAACAGCTTCCCTATATCGAGACGACTCGGTATCATACACAATGCTGGCAAGGTGAATTGATGCGTACGATGCAACGTTTTGCTTGACGCACCTTAACCAGATACTGGTAGTTCTGAGGGTTTCTTTCAAGGTCCAGCATCTGGAGAAGCTCACTGCTCCCACCATCCAGAAGCTGATAGAAGATGTGGAAGTTTCTTTCTCCGTGGTTCTGGTGGACTACACGGGATTCCTCTAAAAGGTAATTGAGGATGTGGCCACCCACTGGCATCCCCTAAGAAAGGCAGAATCTTAAAACATTGCAGCGACACAGAAAGAGAAACTGCAATCCACAGTGGCTTAACTTGATCAATATTTCTAGAATGCTGCAAAGTCATTGACATACAGAATTAAAAAAAAAATCCAGGAAAGGATTGTTTACCTTGAAGTTAAACTGCACATCCATATATTTTCCGAACCGACTGGAGTTGTCATTCTTTAGTGTCTTGGCGTTACCGAATGCCTACACAAAGCATGAGTTGGATGATTTCAAGTGAATGAAATATGCTGTGGAACTTTGATTCCAATTGCAAACTCCGATTCAATACCTCCAGAATAGGATTGGACTGGAGCAGGCGGTCTCCGAGGGTGGTCATGTGATGATTCGTGGGGCAGGTGACGGCATAGTAGAGGAGGATCTTCTTCGAGGCTTCTGTTTTACCTGAACCGCTCTCACCTGATATGAGAATACACTGATCCTTCCATGTGGTCCGCATGGCCCGGTAAGTGTTGTCTGACACTGCATAACTGAGTGAAAAGCAATGCAGTTTTAGAGTCTACGCAATGAGTCAATTGTCACGGTTGTCACAATTGCAATTGGCAAACAACATCATGTAGTATTTAGAAATTTGGGCAATGTTAAGAGTAAATTCTTTCAACGCAAAAGCTGTCACTCACTCTTGCTATTATTGTATTACAATATTTCAGAGATGCCCACGTTACACGGCACAAAGTCTAGTAGACAGGTACCATTCATTCGATGAATAAAATCCCAAATTAGCAATTCACATTCCATCGTGCGACCACAAGCCTTGCAAAAACAAGACTCACATGTGAGGAGATATTTCATAAAAGCTGACTCCTTTGTAGCGTTCCATCTGCGGCTTGGAGTAAATCTCGAGCTCTTTGTAGGGGTTTACGGACACCAGCACTGAGCCGATGTAAGTCTGAGCCAAAACAGTCACAGAAAATATGCCAAACATTCCAACATCACTCCAAACCAACATATCGAGAGATAATGAGAAACGTTCTTACATAGATGAGGTTTTCTCTGAAGCGCCGTCGCAGGTTCTCTATAAAGGCCGCCTCGCTGTTGTGGTTCTCCAGTAGGACAAAGTCCTGGACTCCAACCCTGTCACGGGCCGTTAGGGTGCTCTCCATCACCAAGCGAACCCTTCCTTCAATGTCCACCTCCTGTAGAGAGAAGCGGGGTTGTAATTTAACCATACAGACACAAGGTGGCGCTTCTGGGCTGTTCCTATTTTATCTGAATGTATTCCTCCTCATTTTAAAGCCTTGAAATAATTCACACAGAATTAATATTAATAATAATACGAAATAATAATTTAATAATACAAATAGATTATGTTTAGATTCACGTGTTAAAAAAATGACATCTAAAATGGATTAGATTGGGAAAAAATGGCTTGGAATGACAATTTCTGACAAAGAAAGTTTGGTCTCTCGAGGATAAGATTTGCTAAAGGCATACATTATAATTAACAATGAAACTTTTACTCCAAAATTTTATCGTCTAGAGTAACATTTGACTTAAAAAAAGCAAACATGGTGCAAGTAATAACATCAAGCACGAAACATCAAGCACAATGTATTTACAAAACAGTCTCTCTTCTTGATTATTAAAAAAAAAAAAAAAAATACGAATGACTCAGCATTTACTGACCACATCTATCAACAACACTCCACAGTTCGACCAAGCCTCGCCAAGGCAAGGCAAGACATTTTAGGAATCCCAATGATAAACAGGATGTGCTTATCTGTGTTGAGATGGTGATAGTCTCCGCGTACTGTACACACAACGTGATAACACCACGGGGTGATAACAGTGATGCAAATGGGAAAGCGTGTGTACATGTCAACCTTAACGTGACGACAAGCCTAATATTATGGATGGGTAGAATTTAGTGGGCTGCGGTGACATTCTCTGTGGCCACAGTGTAAAATATCGCAGGCACACACAACCACAGCAACATGTAACGGAAAGGGAAACAGTTGTGGCTTTGGAATCTTTCCTGATGAATAATATTCTAAAAGTGAGTCATTGGACATTGAGGGTATTTTGTCAATAGTGCGGTCACTTCAAAAGTACCTCTTTGGTACCCTTGACAATGCAACGCGGTTCTGGAGACGAGACAGGAGTTACAAAATCTTGAAGTTCAGTTACAAACTATTGAGGGCCAGTCAATTTACAGCATTTGGATTGATGTTTCAAGGCTCACAGAACGTTGTGTTGTATGTGAACACAGAAACCACCAAATGAAAGATGAGACTCTTTTCTTTCATCAGAAAAAAAAAAAAAGAGTTGCCAAAACTTTTCCCTACCGGAAAAAAAAAAAAAACGTAGTTGACCGCACCTCACGTCGATGGCACTCGACGATAGAATGCTAACTTTGTTCGCACTTGTATGACGTTTTGGAACACGTGTTAGCATTAAGCTATGGGGAATTTTGTAAGGTTTTTCGTCTGATTACCGTATTGGCCCGAATATAAGACGGCCCTGATTATAAGACGACCCCCTCTTTTTGAAGACTCAATTTTGAAAAAAGACTTTTTGAACCCCAAATTAATTTTTATATTAAAATAATTAGAGTACATCTGAAACAAATGACTATAACTATATATTTGAAAGAAAGAGCATGTTATTTTGCCTCATTCAAATCTAAAGTGCAATCACATTCGTAAATGAATGGCTTCTGGTTTTTGAAATGTAAATTACATCAGAACTTCTCAGCTGCCGGTTAACCTGGCCGATCTTCGACCCACTTTTCTCCAGATTGTCACTACGTTTCTCATTTTTCTGTCATCTCTTCTATTATTTTCTTGTCTTTTCCTTGTTACCGCTATTTTTTATTTTTCTTCTTCGTGCTACCGCTATTTTTATTTTTATTCTTCATGGCACGGGTTCACTTTGGCCTGAGAAGTCAAGTTCAGCAGATATCTGGCGCCATCTAGCGTCGTGAATGGGTATAATATCTAGACCGCGAATATAAGACGACCCTTATTTCAATGCAGAAAACACCGTCTTATATTCGGGCCAATGCGGGAAATACACAATGTCTGATCCTTAATTAATTTGGCAATAAACAGCAGGAATTAAGCACCTCCCTTTTAAATGATTGTTCATTATTTCATGTTTGTTGCGTTCCTGCTCGGAACTCAAATTTTAGCTGGAAATGAGCGACGGCTCAGGAGTCAGGTCACCTGTGAGACAAGGTACATGAACTGCACCTAAAGGGACAGAGATACCTTCACACTGGATTCACTTTGTAGCAGTACCTTCTTCTCTCTGTAACCCCCTGCGGATTTGATGTAAACAGCTATAAAAACATCAACAGAAAGCAGAACAAAGGCGCTAGGCTTCTCCTCCATGCATGTGTCTCTCTCAGGGGGCTCATTTGGCCGCTCCACGTCGCTAAAAGGCCTTTACCCTTGAGCGGTATTCATGGGGAAATCCTTGCGAAAACAAGAGGACAACAGTGGACGGCAGCCAAGATGTGAGAGCAAAGGAAAGCCACCAAAAGTCTATTGCAGCCACTCCTCGCGGCTTCACCTTGGAGTATTGTTCTCTCATTCCTGCAGGTGGGCTTCCTACAGATGTGATTAACGCTTGGCTGTCAGATTTTCCAAAGAACACAACGAAGGAATGTTGGGGTCAGGATCGGAGCAGGCGGTCAGAGGATGCCATGGAATCTTTTGTTGCGGTGTGGCAATAGCTGCATGTTTTCAGATGAAACACTGGGGATGGGTGTATCGTTAAGTCTTAGAAATGGCGGCGAAACGAAAGGAATCAGCCGTGCAGATGTGGGAGGGGAGAAATACAGCCTCTGCAATCACTCTGACATTTCTTTTTTTTTTTTTTCCGAGAAAAATCACATAGGTATGCATACCGTGATAAAACATACCTCAGTACAAGACAGCACAGAGCCAGATTGCCATCGGCAAGACCGAGCTGGCTCTGCGAAAGCTCCTTTAGCATAATCACTCATTCGTCAGATTTAACACCTTCACGCTTTTGCAGATGTGCTTCGGCTGCCGTGCCGACGAAGCGCGCGTGTGCGCAACCGTGTTTGTGCAATCATCTCATTTGTTTTTCCAACTTTGAGAAGGGCAGTTCAAAATCAAGGTTGCCGAGCAACCAAACTATGTTGTGTCATCACGCAACACAGCAAACATTGTTTTCAGTCTTTCGCCAGTCACGAGTTGAGATTTTGACTTTCATCCCTGCAATCAGCACAGCAAGCAGAACTCCATTTTTAAATGGGACTCGGCCTCGTCTAAACAAACGTTCCCGACTGCAAAACTACTTCTGCCACTACATATGAGGCTTAAAAGAAACGGAATCCAGTCCTTTGCGTCTTTTAAACCAGGCCAGGCAATACATGGCGTGGATTTTTCGTTGGAAAACATCTGAGCTGTGGTGAAACGAGTATGTTTGCTCTGCAGAGGAGGCACATCTCGCAGTAGGACTTGACTAAACTTTTGCCTGAGTGACTACAACCAGATAATCTTCCTTATTTGGTCAGCCTCCGTCCAGCTCTGGCGAGGCTTGATGCTACCACAGCTGGATGAAACCGACTATTGTGAACAACCCTAAGCTAACTCCTCTGCGTTAATGCTTCGTGAAACCCAAAACAAACCACCGCATCACAACTCAGAGTACATAAGGCCCTTGTTTTGATCTTTATGACGAATTGTGCTTCACACTACGCAGTATAGATAGATGAATATGATCTAAGTAGGAAGCAAAAACTGGACAAGGGGCATCGTGGTCGAGAGGCTCTTACCCTGCCTTGGTACCTCATCCTGTCCTGTTATTTGCTTGACAAAGGATGAAGTGCTGGTTCCCCCGCTGGGCTGGAGCTCCACCTCTCGTGTGAAGCGGACCCGTCAACTGTAACCACTCATTCAGCGTTACCCAAGGGCAACAGAGCGAGGCAGTTTAATGTCTTCTGTCTCCCCTCGTCAGTCCTCTTTTCACTTTCTCTCAGCCTTTCCGCACGTCCGCCGTCCTTCTGCCGATCGACCTCCCCTGCACATGAGGATAGAAAGCGATCAAGGCAAAGGTCCCTCGTTGAAACTTTCAATTCACCTTCCCTTCAAAACGTTCAGATATACGTCTGCCTCTCCAAAAGCCCTTTCACCCCCCGCTCTCTCTCCAAACTGTGCCGCATGAAACAAGAGCAGGAACTCCGCTCACACGTCACAAGTGGGTTGCAAAAGAAAAAAAAAAAAAAGAAAAAAAAACATGGGAAAGTATGCTGCTGTGGATAATGCTAAAGGCGAGCCAGAGAAATAGGGAGTGGAAAAAGTTACTAGCAGCTCCAAAATAAAGAGTAACCACTCTGCTGCTGCAATTTTAAAAAAAATAAAAAATAATGAGATGATGAGATCCTGAAGCATTCTTTCCATCTTTCCCTCCCAGTTGAGTTTGCTCCCTCCCTTTTCTCCCACAAGCTGAGACAGATTCAAATAGGATGTGGGATAAGGATTTCTTCCAGTAGGTATACCTGCATATCTGATTCATTAAGAAATGAAGATAAATGACATTTTTTCCTGCTGTTTTCATGGAACAATATCATATTCAACATTTGTAAACATTGCCAAAGCAATAACCTAACAAGCGACGAAAACAAAACGGGCTTGCAAAACATTTACGTAGTCTTTTCTTTGTCTGTCAGTTATTTTTGAACGAGTACTTTTACTATATATGGTTCACTCACACAGTTCCCTTTTCTTCATGTCGGCCAATGCCGCATTCCATCAAATGCTTGTTATTCATTTTCATATTAGGCGACCATTTCAAAACAAATTCATACAATGAAACAATAGAGAATCATTTCTTTGCCACGCGGGGGAGAAAAAAAGGATCCGTATTGTTTTGCTTTCCTATCAAAGCCAAACAGTCTCCTGAGAAACAATTCTGGATCGGAGATTATGTAACGTGTAAATTAGCCTCACGGGTACATTATATTGCAAAGTTATGTTCACATTCTTCCGTAGTGATCAGAGACAGAACAATTGCGCCTTTCGCAGTCGACCGCGTTTTAGTACACGGACGTAAGATGCAACGGTGAAGCATCACATGTGCACAACACGTAAAACATCAAAAGAATTGGACCAAAACATGAAGGAAAAATAAGACTCTCAATTCGAAGTTTGAAACACTGCATGAGTGAACTCATAAAATTTGATATACTGTACTGGGACGGGTAAAAATCATCGAATCCCGACTCGGTAGACGTGGGGTTTGAGTGTGCTTGGACCAGTGTCTCGGTATTTCCATCATTAGATGCCAAACTCACTATATCCCTTCATAAAAAAAAAAAAAAAAAAAAAAAGACATAAAAAGTACAAAAAGTACAAAACATGCAGGCACTGACTATACATCGGGATGCTACATCCCGCAAGGTGTCACAGAAATCGACAACATCTGAAAGGTGTATCTGTCACCGTTGTTTTCCAGATGTGCCAGTGCTCCTATTTCTGTCAGGCAGTTCCTGTAAGTGGGATTTCCTTCCTTGCTCTTTCCTGATGTTCAAGATTTTCCTTCATGGCCTGCCATCAGCGAACCCAAACTCCTGTTTCAGAAATATGACTTCAAGCAATGTTCATATAAAGCCAGTGGCACTTTTGCTTAAGCTTTTACATGATCCAAGGTGGGCTGTCCACTGTCACGGCACACACTTTGGTCTGAACTCAAACAACTGTACAATGTTGTTATGTTGCCATGAATAAAAGATAGCACGAATAAACCTGACTTTGATTTTCACATAATTGGATCCAAGCTCCAAAACTAATTCCAAACATGTGAACTACTGCTGAAGGAACTCCAAGCATAAACAACAATTCATCTTGCAAACTGTCAGCCTGCTGGTTTTTGTCTTATTTTAGTCTGCAGACGGTGGATGACTCAGCGAGGCAATATATCACGGTGGGATGAATTTTAGGGCGGGGTGGAAAAATGGGAGGGATTCTTACCTCTCTGTATCTATTTGGTCTCTCTCTCTCTCTCTCTCTACTGAGCTCCACACGCACAATACTTCCTGTGTGCGGGCACACACACACACACACACACACACACAAACTATCCATGTCTACCGGCCTGTCTTTCTTCCTGTCTATTTTTTCAGCCTATCATGTTGCAGCGTACACACTTCATGGTGCAGCTATTATTGAGTCTCCACCACTGTGTATTATGCCCCTGATGGAGAAGCCGCTGGTAGCCTGTTGTCCATCTGTGCTGCGCTCCGTCAGCACCCATCTGTTGTCACTTTCACCCCGTATTGACCTTTGCTGCCTCTCATTGCCCCATATCGCCGTTACACACACAGAGGCCACTTGATTACTAGACAATCGTATCTGAGATATAATAGATAGAACACAGGAGGACTCCGTTTGAAGTTGTAACTGTGCAAAGTGGAGTCAACAAGAATAAAAAGTTTTGCCTTGATGATCGCTGAGGCAAACTTATCTTAACATCTACTCCTCTGGTATTTAATTAAGTCAAGGCCAATGGCGTTGCCTTGTGGAAGTATTATCAATCACTTAAACTACCAATGACCACCCAGCTCATTGTTAAATCCTTCTGAAAGGGCCCAAAAAAAAAATCGAGAGGATTAAAACGTTGATGCTGCCCTCTCGTGGACTTTTCTAGAGTGCACTGTATATGCACTGTACTGTATATACTGTACATAATATAACTACATACAGTGCAGTACAATAATTGAACGTAATAATGTAATGATGGTGGAAAATTTAGGTTGGTAATTCTAAGTTTTCTTTCTTTTTGTTTTAATTCACTTTCAACTGCAATTCAACTTTTGGGGCCATACACTAAGATTTTATTAGTTTAAAGGCCAGTTACATTTCTGCAAATATTGCAACTGCACTAATATAGTGTATATGCTTTGCATACTAGATGAAAAAAAATTACGAGATATTTAACTATATATTACTATGTGTTAAACAAACTGTGACAATGACAGGGGTTAGGTTATATTTACTATTTCCACATGTGTGAATGACAAAAATAAATGTACAAGAGGCCAAGTGTGTAGCTACCAAGGATTACAGACTACATCAGAAATGCGACGTAATTGCATTCATATTTTATTGATTTACTTTTCATATGCGTGCATTTTATATTTGCATCTATAAAGAAGTACTGTAAATAATACGAAGAAAAATGTAAGAAACGTGTGCATGTGTCAGAAATGTATAATTGCTCATGACTTGAACGTCTTTCAACTTCCTTTGAAACAATTGCATTTTTTTTTTACTCTAGTAAAATATATAGCGCATGTCGAAAATATGTTTACTGTGGTCATAAACATGAGTACGACACATGTGCAAAGCAATTCCGCTCACAAAATACCGCATAACTTTGAAAGTGAGTTACCGAGTTCCAAATTGGAAAACGTTTATTTCTTTATATACTCTCACACGACAAATGAAATGATACATGGAGAGAAATTTAGTGACTGAAATCACATCCGTGGGGAACGATTTTGGCTGGTACATTTTTAAAGTGATGTTGAAACTGAGAAGGGGCGTTGGTACTCTATATATATATATATTGCGTAACCAATGAAAAAAAAGTATATGTACAGAATACCTTATTTACCTTTAAATAGTGTGAGTGAAAGGATGCTAGGTGTGTAGCTACCTTGTTGGAAAAAAAGGGATGCTTTGCTTTCTCGCCTGGAAGTGACGCAGCCCGCAATCCTGGAGTGAGCTCGCCAGTTGCTCGCTAGCCGTGTTGCAGTAGTGTGCGGGCGCCGCTGGGTGAGTCCCTCTCTCCGCCGCCGCTGCATCCATTGCTCCGCTCTTCCGAAGAAAAGAGAAGGACTGGGTCCGTGAAGGAGGAGGGCCCCCGCTGCCGCCGCCGCCGCCGCCATTATCGGAACGCTGCCTCAAATCGCACTTTCACCCACGCGATCTGCTCCCAAAAGCGGGACGTGTGAACACTTCCGATCGCCCCGTGGATGTTTTGTCGGAGACGAAACGGCTGGTCGATTGCAACCGACTGGTCCGTTTTGTGTAAGGCGTGTGCGACCGGCCCAGCATTAAATGTGCACAACAATGGACACAGTAATGAAGTGAAAACGAAGCAACGTGGTGAAGCCAGCAAAGGAACGGCTTAGTACGATTCTTTTTTTTTTTGGACACCGGGATTTTTTTTCTGAAGAAAAAAAAAAACGTATGCTCAAACAACATCGGATGGTTCTCATTTTGCGCGTGTGGATATTTATTGCCTTTCCAGTGTTTTTCAATTGCAACAACGGAGGGAGCAAGTGATGCCGAAGAGGAGAAGGCAAGCACGGGTAACTAAGCGCTATTTAATGCACACAATGAATGGCACGTGCACAAAGTGTAGGTCGAATACGTTGTATGATGTTTTGTGTGCCTTTATGCGGTTGCACATCAGGCTGGGCTGCGGCACGCTGGCCTGACAGATGCAGCAAGAAAAAAAAAAGGGAGACATGCGATGGTATGCACGCCCTCTTCTTATTTATGGCTTTAGTGCACCGGCGAGTGTTCGTGGGTTGCACACCAGACAGCTGGCCAAATAAAGCACCTTTTAGACGGCGTCTGTGTGTTCTCGTGGAGACACACTAGCCCAGATTTCGTGAATGCTTCTGCAATCTCATTATGTAGACAGCAGAAGAAAGCAGGCCTGGGGTGGGCAGCCCCTCTGTGACTGGCTACTCATGTCAATCCTTTGCAAAAAAAGGATCGACAGCAATATGTAACGTTACCGAATGATATCTTATGCCTCGAAGTCGGATCATATCTGGATGAGCCAAACCGGGTTCCGTTGGGAATGTGGACTGCTAATAATTGCTCATGAGGCTGCTAAATGTATCCGCTTATTTACTTCTCTGTCCGTATTTGTTATGTCAGCCCGGTTCTGATTTACTGCAATGGCTCCTGTAGCTTCATATTGTTTATCACTGTCAGAGATACAGTATGTGTACAGAAGCAATCGATGTGCCCTCAAGGTACAATCAACAATAATATGCCCCATAGCCCCAATTATAGTACCAGCTCTACACTTTGGCTCTCGAATGGAAGTCAAAAGTAATTTTTCCATGTAATGCAGCAGAGCATTTGGCAAACACGTTACATTTAATCAAATATTAACCATAAGTAAGTCACGTGTGGCCAAAAATGTAGCTGTTGATTAATTTGTACAGTATATACAAGCAAGCGATAAGCTCAGAATTATTCATGTGCTGGCTACGTTTTCAGTTAATGTTTTTGGGGGGGGATTGAGAGACTACCAAAAATACTGGTATGTAGACCACCAAAATAACGAGATTAGCGTCACATTGCCAATCTGTGTACCATCAAAATGCAAGAAGAATCTCTAGTTCTCTACATATTGTAGTAAGAGCCATAACCCATTCACTCATTGATTGCATCAATTAGTTCACTATACAGTCTCCAGTTAAAATGAATAAAATATCCATCCATGCATTTTCAAATCCGCCAAACGCAACAAGCGTCGCGGGTGTGCTGGAGCCTATCCCAGCTGTCTTCGGGCAGTAGGCGTGGGTACACCCTGAACTGGTTGCCGGCCAATCGCAGGGCACATACAGTAGATGAACAACCATTCACACTCACAATCACACCTGGGGGCAGTTTAGAGTGTTCTATTAACCTACCATGCATGTTTTTGGAATGTGGGAGGAAACCGCAGTACCCGGACAAAACCCACGCAGGCGCAGGAAGAACACGCAAACTCCACACAGGAAGGCCGGAGCCGGAATCGAACCCTGCACCTCTGCACTTCGAGGCCGACTGGCTAACAAGTCGACCACCGTGCCGCCCTGAATAAAATATGTGAATTATTATTTGACAGGGTATTTTCTAACTGAAATGACACAATAAAGAGGCAATAACGAAAAATAAATTAGATTGTTTAATTGTGAGCAAAAGCAACCATTGATCATGATTTTGGTCACTTCAAAGATAAACTAGCGTTCTCATCAACAATGAATGTTGAACGTTGGATAAGCATTTCGTGAGAGAGCGTATGAATAATTTTGGACAGGGACTAATATTTATCCGTCATTTTATAGTTTACAGCATTATCAGATAGTGTTATTTCGAGAGTACCACTCCCTTCATGGTCCCTCGCATTTACCAATCTTGTGAGACCATAGCTGATGTTTTGCTAACTTTGACATCTGTAAGAGGGTATTGAGGATCTATAAGTTTGCTAAAATTGGAACAAAGAAATGTTCTAAATTCGTATTAGATGGCATTGTTGTGTGGTCTGAGTTCCTGACAGTCTAGTCGGGTTTGCAAAGTATTTCCTTAGTGGTTGAGAGAGCCATGCTATATTACAGAACACAGTTTCTCCCGTTATGGATCTAATCTTTGCCTCATCATTTCAAATCTTTACCGTATTGAAATTCTCACCTCCTTTTGTCTTCCAGGACCTGGCTTTCAAAGGGGATGAATGAAGGCACCATCTTCACATATCACCGCACTGCTTCTTGAATTCAAAATAGATGCCCTGCAGAAGGAACTGAAATTTGAGCCCATCACCAACTTTATGGACAAACCTTCAAGCGAACTTTTTTTACACAGTGCCTGTTTATGGCAGGATGATCGTCGGTAGCTTATGATGGCGAAAAAGCAAGATGTCCGGTCCCCCATTTACAACCTCATCGTGGTGGGTTTGTCGGGTACGGAGAAAGAAAAAGGACAATGTGGGGTTGGAAAGTCCTGCCTTTGTAATAGGTATGTCAGGCCCAGCGCAGATGACTTCTACTTGGACCACACATCCGTGTTGAGCACCAGTGACTTTGGGGGTCGAGTGGTTAACAATGATCACTTTCTATTTTGGGGGGAGGTCTCGCGGCTTCTGGAGGAAGGGCCCGAATGCAGAATGCATATCGTGGAGCAAACGGAATTCATTGATGACCAGACGTTTCAGCCACATCGTAGCACCGCCATGCAGCCGTATATTAAACGAGCGGCTGCCACCAAGCTGGCGTCCGCAGAGAAGCTCATGTACTTCTGCACGGATCAGTTGGGCCTAGAGCAAGACTTTGAGCAAAAACAAATGCCCGAGGGCAAGCTGCAGGTTGATGGTTTCCTTCTCTGCGTTGATGTCAGTCGGGGCATGAACCGCAATTTTGATGACCAGCTGAAATTTGTCACAAACCTTTACGGTCACCTCAGCAAGACCAAGAAACCTATCGTGTTAGTCCTAACAAAGTGCGACGAAGGAGTTGAACGCTATATCAAAGACGCGCATACCTTTGCGATCACAAAAAAGAGTCTACCCGTTGTCGAGACATCTGCGCGTTCAAATATAAACGTGGACCTTGCCTTCCTCACTTTGGCTCAGCTTATTGATAAAAGCAGAGGCAAGCCCAAGATCATTCCCTATTTCGAAGCACTGAAGCTCCAGAGTCAGCAAATAGCTTCCGCCAAGGATCGCTACGAATGGCTAATCAACCGGATCGTGAAGAATCATAATGAAACCTGGCTGAACACCAGTCGACGCATGAACACCTCCCCAGAATACAAAGAATATGTTTTCTTGGAGGGAACAGCGAAATGCAAGAAGCTATTCCAACAGCATGTTTACCGTCTGAAGCAGGAACATATCGAGCGGCGCCGTAAAATCTACCTAAGCACACTTCCTCTTGCACTTAGTTCTTTGGTGCCTGACCTGGATGAAATAGATCAGCTCAGTTGGTCTGGTGTACAGAAGGTTCTCGAGTCCAAGCAGCACTTTGCCCACTGGTTCGTTGTTCTGGAGGACTCTCCTTGGGAGGATACATCTCACATCGACAATATGGAAGACGAGCGGATCCCGTCAGACCTTCTGGAGACGGACGAAGCGGAGGAATTGTTTAATGCCCACCTGGAGCATTTACGGAACGAGTGCAGACGTGCGGAGATGAGGCTCGAGTTTAAACACAAGCTAGCTTCTTCTCCCTTTGTCACACCCGGAAGACCCTGGGAGGAGGCTCGCAGCTTCATCATGAACGAAGAGTTCTACCAGTGGCTTGAGGAACCGGAGTACTTGGACCTTTACAACCGTCATCAAAAGGAGATCATTGACCGGGCCAAAGAAGACTTCCAGGAGCTGTTACTGGAGTATTCTGAGCTGTTTTATGAACTTGAAGTGGATGCCAAGCCAAGTAAGGAGAAGATGGGGGCAATTCAGGAAGTGTTGGTGGAAGAGCAGAGGTTCAAGGCGCTACAGAAGCTTCCAGCCGAAAGAGACGCTCTGGTATTGAAGCATATCCACTTTGTATATCATCCGACGAAGGAGACCTGCCCTAGCAGCCCCCACTGCGGAGACTCCAAGATCGAACAACTCCTGGCTTCCCGTTTCCCGACTTGTTATCCCTTTTTTGACGTGAAGGCTCATTTCGGGGATACAAAGGCCGACCGAATCAATCTTGTCATACTGGGAAAGGATGGACTCGCCAGAGAATTTGCCAACGAGATTAGGGCTCTCTGCACCAACGATGACTGGTACGTGTTGGACGGGAAGATGTACGAGCTGACGCTGCGGCCCATCGAGGGAAATGTGCGTCTTCCTGTCAATTCTTTCCACACTCCGACGTTCACCCCTCACGGATGCCTCTGTCTGTATAATTCAAAAGAATCCCTGTCGTACGTGATCGAAAGTCTGGAGCGTCTTCGGGAATCCACGCTAGGTCGAAGGGACAGCCAGCTAGCGCAGCTGCCGACGTCACTGCTCTTAGTCACCAAAAGAGGCGTCGGCTCATACGTGGATGTCGGTGGAGAAACTGCCTTAAACCTAATAACGCAAGGACAGCAAGTTGCGAGGAGACTTCAGTGTAGCTTCTTAGATCCCGCCTCTCCCGGTGTCGGCTATGGCCATAATGTCAGCGAGTCACAAATCAATCAGGTGCTCAGGGGCCTTCTGGACATTCGGAGGAGCACATCCTTCAGTAGCAGTTCGCCTCCACTCCTCCCCGAGCCCCCGGGTGTGAGAGAGTCTCCTCATCAGCCAGCCCCGGAGGCGGATCTTCGCATCGTCATGTGCTTAATGTGTGGCGACTCCTACGACATTGAACAGCTGCTGTCCCCTTTCCTGATGCATCACCACTGCAGGCCCATGTCAAACAGCGGCACTTCTGTCTTGCTCGAGCAGACCGTTGCGGGACATAAGCTCGCTATAGAGCTATCGGTCCTCTCATATCACGCTTCCTTCACATTACGGAAGAGCAGGCTGGTGCACGGCTACTTTGCTGTGTACTCGGTTTCCCGAAAATCATCCCTGGAGACGCTGTGTGCGTTCTTGTGCGAAGTTCAGGACATCATCCCGGTGCAGCTGTTGGCAGTCGGGGATAGCCAGGCCGAGCTGGCGGAGAGCGACTACGCCCGGGAGCAGCAGATCCAAGGAGAGGAACTCGCCCATGAGATCGAAGGCCGTTTCAATAGTGTGGTTTGCGGTTCCGGGGGCGTCGTGGGAGGCCTGCACAGGATCGAGATGTTCCATCCCTTTCTCATGGAGGTGGTGGAGAAGCGCAACATTGTGGAAGCCACACACATGTACGACAATGTTGCCGAGGCGTGCACAAATGAAAACGTGTACTCCCCGCGCTGCAGTTCTCCCAGCCCCGTCACCCTGTTCCTGGATTCAGAGGACGATGTTGAACCTTCGCCACCGTACTACGACGGCACGCTGACGTCTCACCACGGGGGCTTCAACTTGCACGACTTGGACTCCAATGACATCTCTCTTATCTCTGACATTCGAGACCTCGAGAGCAAACTCAACAACAAGGTGCCCCCGCATGTAAGAGTTAAACCAGGCGTCACGTTCGATTTTCGAAAGATCAGCCGAAACCCATACGTGGACACCGTCGGTCACCGGCGCTCGCTGCCGTCTGCCGTGACCTGGGTACCTGGGGGCGACGTGGGCTACGACCCCTCAGACTACGCAGAACCCATAGATGCTGTTTGCAAGCCCCGCCCCAACAACGACGAGATCATCTACTCGGTGCCACATGACAGCACGCAAGGAAAGATCATCACCATCCGCAACTCCAATAGGATGCACTCCAATGGCAATGGATCCGACAGCGAAGCAGACAGCAGCTCTCTGGAACGAAGGAGGAAATTCTCCGCGGCGGGCGTCAAACCCCGTCTGTACCGCGACCGTTCCAAGCGGCTCGGTAAGTTCAGCAGCTTCCGCAGCAGCTTCATAGGCAGCGACGACGAGATGGGAGCGCTGCCAAAGTCCAAGGAAGATGACTTCGGGACATTGAAAGGTGAAAGTCTGGTCAATGAGGAGAACGAGGACCCCAAGAAGAGGAATATTCTGAAGAGTCTTCGACGAACGGCCAAGGTGTGTATTTACCAGCTCAAAACCCACCTATTCAGACTTGCCTATCCACCTTAAATCTTTTTATTTTTATTTTTTACTTTTTTACTTTTATTTTAAATTTTATCTGTAGTTTTATTATTTGCTCTTGGTTGTACAGTGTCCTTGAGTGCTATGAAAGGCGCTTGCAAATGTAATCTATTATTATTATTATTATTATTATTACCTCTTTCTCCTACTTTTAATTCTGTTTTATCACATGAGCGGTTTCATGTTGTCCGTATTCTTTGATGTGGAAGTTCCTCTTTCTGTTCCTCTCAGAAATCAAGACCAAAGCCCCGTCCGGCAATCCCCAAGCCCATTGAAAGCAACTATTTCGGGGTGCCTTTAGTCAATGTGGTATCCCCGGATAGACCTATTCCACTCTTCATTGAGAAGTGCGTTCGCTTCATTGAGACCACAGGTGGGTGAACCTTTTTTTTTTAACTGCTTAACTCATTCACTCCCAAAGACGTTTTTAAACGTCTTTTCAGATTTGGTCTAGAATTGGCTGGTACTGAATGAGTTTTAACATACACTCACTCGATTATGTAAACACTCCGAGTAGGTGCAATGCTAGAGCGGTTATGATTGACATAAGCAAAGAGGTAGTTTAGCACTATGTTGGTGTGTGCGTGCCCTATATTGGACCTAGTTGGTAAATATGTGTAGGAAATGTATGAAAAGATTTTTTTTCTGGTTATTATACAGTATTTTTATTTATTTTTTTTAATAGAATGATTATCATTAATAAATATTGAAGAGATTTTTGTTTGTGCACCTTCCCTTTCTTTGCTCAGGTCTAAACACAGAAGGTTTGTACCGCGTAAGCGGGAACAAATCTGAAATGGAAAGCATGCAAAGGCAGTTTGAACAGGGTGAGTTAACCCCAAGCAAGGTGATGGTTCACTTCACTGACCCATTGCCTCTTATTGTTCATTCTCATCTCCGTAACACCTGCTCCTATTGTGCAGACCACGGATTAGACCTGGTGGAGAAAGATTTCTCCATAAACACTGTGGCTGGAGCCCTAAAGAGCTTCTTCTCCGAGCTGCCTGAGCCCCTGGTGCCTTGTGCTCTGCAGGTGGACCTACTGGATGCTTTCAGTAAGCAAACACTGCTGGGCAGGGAGGGGTCTTGACTCCGACATAAAAGCATGATTCCTGTAGGAGCTCAGAGGGCGGGGCAGCTTTTAACATTTATCTCCCCGTGCGTTGACGCCGATGATTTCAACGCTAGCGGCAAAGAGGCTTCTTGAAAACCAATCAATGCTGTAAATGGCATGACGCAATTCTAAATCCTTCATGTCGGATGTGAATGCAGAAATCACTGACAGAGAGCAGCGGCTGTACACCATGAAGGATATCCTGAGAAGGTTCCCCAGGGAGAATTACGATGCCTTCAAATACGTCGTGAGCCACTTACACAAGTAAGTTCCGCCTGAGAAATTTATTAGTTTAGTAGAATGAATAAAAAAAAAATATATCGACCTAGTCATCGGTGTGAAAATAGCCTGAGTGCAACCTCTGTGTTTGTCAGGGTGAGCCAGCTGAGCAGGCTGAACCTGATGACCAGCGAGAACTTGTCCATCTGCTTCTGGCCCACACTCATGCGACCGGACTTCACCACAATGGACGCCCTGACGGCCACGCGCACCTACCAGACAATCATCGAGATCTTCATCCACCAGTGTGCATTCTTCTTCTACAACCAGCTGCTCATCGACTCCCCCACGGGGCTCGGAGGGCTCCCGGCCTCGCCCACCACCACCCTCGGCGGGAGCTCGGCCTATTCCTGCTACCGCTCCTCACCTCCGCACAGCGGTGCGCATTTCAGCCCGCTGCAGCAGCAGTCGCCTCCCACCACCCCCCAGTCACCTCTGCAGTCCCTGCTCCCACCCTTGCACCAGCATGCCCACCCTCACCCCCAACCCCACCACTCCCCTGCTGAACAGGAGACACTGTGAGACGCCAGAAGCCTCGTGTGCCCGGGATGCGCCCTGGAACCTCACCGCCAACATACAAACGTAAGAACTTCATGGTAAATTATAGCGAAGGGGGGTGGGGGGGAGCGATTAGTGAGGGGGAGTGTGCCCCCCCCAACCTCACACTGGTGTTTTTGAGGGTTGCCTGGAATCGGACATCATGAAAGCTGGAAGACATTCGTGGCCACCGTGTTTTTATCTGTTTTTCTTCCTCATGAAAGTACTGCCACTGGATTTGTTGAACCTCTCGGTCCTTTAGGGTGGAAATTTGCGCCCTCTTGTGGAGGCATTGGGGGTGTTTCATTTCATTGGTATTGGGGTGGGTGGGCGGAAGGGGTGGGGCTTACACATCCAGGGATGCACTTTAATGTTTTTTTTTTTTTTTTGGACAAATTGTGTGTTTTTAATTTTGACAGCTCAGCCATACCCATTGCCTCTACAGAAAGGAGCTCTGGCAGATCAAACTTTGTTTACATGAAATGTTTTTTTGGTTTGTTTGTTTTTCTTTTATATCCGCATACGTACCTGAAGCACTTTTCGATAGTGTAGCGTTACATTTGAATTGTCCATTTTGCTTGTTTAGTGGTTGAGTCTGGCATTCTAGTGCAAACGAGATCCCCTAATGTAAAAACTTTCATTGGTTCCATGATCCCGGAGCGACTCCTGTTCCTCACTCATCCCGGCCTCGCGGAATATAGTTTTAGATTTGTCCTCTTTCTAGCTGTCGGTTGAGTTGAAGGGATTTTTCAGGAAGTGGGATTTGATTAATGTGGGTCAAGTTAAGAAAAGCAGCCATATTTGATCAGCACACAAGATGCTTATGTCTAATATTCCCTCCAGTTTCCACATTTACCGCAAATCCCGCTTGGACAATATCGTAAAAAGAATCTGTGAATGGCGACGCCACACATGAAGTACTTTAGCATATCATCCAGTGTTGGTGAAGTTCTGAATGTTGTTTTTTTTTTAACCCTTAAAATTTACCAGACAAAGCTCTGTGCTTCCTACGGGAAAAAGTGTGTTAATCACAGGGTTGACCGTTTTTTTTTTTTGTTGTTTTTTTTTTTCTGAGCATCTTTGACTGGCACTTAGTAAGTACCACAATGGATTCATTTTAAACATTGTTCCTCCTACCGGGTCCATCATGAAATATACTGTAAACACAACCGTGGCTACTCGTTGCTATTCAGTGGGCAAAGAGTCACTGTCAACGTTTGTAGGCTGGGGGGAGGACACCAGTGAAGTGGTAGGAAACATTTCTAGTGTGTGTTTCGGTGATTGAAAGTCCGTTTGTACAATTTTTTTTTTTTTTTTTTTTTTGTGAAGGGTTCAAGGCCACTTAATGCATGATTTAAAACACACACCATGGGAGAGGGATGAAAGACTCTCCCTGTTTGAAAATATACATCAAGTCCAAGGACAGAACAAATGCTTGAAGCGAAATGGCTTATAGTACCGCACCAAGAGCAATCCATGAAATTTGTCTGACTGAGCAAATAGTGTTTGAAGATGAAGGCCTTATGTGAACTGTATGATAGTTAATAAATTAAATCTTGTAAAATTGTTCTCATCTTTCTTGTTCGTATGTATTTTCGTCACTATGGGGCCTCAATAATGTCCACCCATTCATCCATTTTCCAATCGGCTTACGGCTCACGAGGGTCGCGTGGGGGGGGGTGCTGGAGCCTATCCCAGCTGTCTTCGGGCAGTATGCGAGGGACACCCTGAACCGGTTGCCAATCAATTGGAGGGTATATACATTGTCGTACAACTATCCACGCTCACAATCACACCTCGGGACAATTTAGTGTTTAATGGAAGTTCTACTTCAGTACAGTAACTAAGTATATGTACTTGGTTACTTCCCACCACATCTTGTTGGTTCAAAGTGTCAGTTTCTATTGTGTGGATTGATGCAAGTGGAACTTCTCACCTGGAGATCTTTTTTTTTTGGATGACATTTTTTTGCAAGCCGGCCGTCCCCTCCCAGAAAAATAACTGAAACGAGCGGAAATGCAAAATAAGTGAAATGCTTTTTTTTTTTAAACACAGAGATAATGTGTAAACCATCCAGAAACCATGACGTATGAAAGATAGCTTTATTGCACAAGGTGTTAGAATGATCTTTTTAGTTTTTGCTTTCTTTTCATAGAAAATGTACTTTTGAACACAAGCAATTGCCGTAACAAGCAACTCAAACAAATGTTTGGGATACCGTCAACGTGTTTTTGTTTGTTTTTTTTTTTTGTTTGTTTTTTTTTTTTGGGACATTTTTGATTTTCATACATATTTTCTTTCAAACGTTTCCCTTTTAGCTAGCATGCAATGACTTTTTAGAGGATCAACAAAATACAAAATGATGCTTAAAAAAAAAATGGAACAAATGACATCAACATCAAAGACCTTTCCAAAAAAGAAAACTGACAAATTAGTATCAAAACAAAGGAGAAAGGAATGTGTTTTGCCCATTCAGAAGTAATATACTGTATTTTTGACTTTTTTTTTCAATTCTTGAAACTGGGGGATTCAACCATGACGTGTCCCCTTTAACCATTCTGACGAAAATAGCTCTTCATACAAAACTGTGTTTTATGTACAAGACTATCTATAAACAACACAGACAAAAGTAGCAGATGCTGCATCTAATATGGTTGTGGGGTCAGAATATTTTCACTTTTCTTTCATCTGCAAGGGGGGGGGGGGGGCAAGTGAGAGGAGCCCGAATGCATCATTTTGACATTCATCCTCCACTCTGTTATTTATATACATAATAGCAGTTTGTGTGACATAAAGAGCTACGAGTCCCTGATTTGCTTTGGCTGACAGGCCACGTACTTGACTTTAGTCTAGAATCTACATTTTCATTAAAGCCCAACTAACTCCGATGAAAATGGAACGACCAACAGATAAACCCGCCCCGAAACAAACGTACAAGATAAATATAAAGCACAAAACCTATCACGGAGATGCTTCAGAGAGGCATTCCAGTAGCTTCTTGTGTGAATGTACATATTTGAGGGACATTTTACAGTACTTCAGACAGGACATCAAGGAAGATATTCATTGGGTGACGATTTGCTAACTTGCACTCAACTCAAAACCCAGGCATTAAAAACGTCTAAACGCTCACATCGCTACTGGGATTCCTTCAACTGGGTTGACTGGGCGCTGGTTGTCATGACGATAACAGCAGCATCTGCTGGTGAAAGACACCGGACTGAAGTTTGGGAGTGATTTTATTCATGAAATGCACATAAAATGCAAAGACCGACTTCAACTAGAATGTGAATCATCCAGTCACCCAATACAATAATAATAATAATAATGATGATAATAATAATATTAAATAATGAGTCAATCTTGCCTTTTCCCATTTCCACATAGTGACACTTATATTTCACATTTATTCAGAACATCCATACTTAACTTTAATTCTTTTTTTAGTCAAACCTTTATTAAATGTTTTTTTTTTTTTTTCATGATTGAGCGATTGTCTCATTCTTCTTAAATTTGACCGTCTGGTATTGTAAATAACTGACTTCTGTAAATATGACTACACTGCCGTAGCGCATAGCATTTCTTTTATTTAGATTTAGACGTCAATATACCTACATAGAAATATATATGTTAAATCTTTTTAAATAGCAAACATTCTCTATTTGCAACGTGGGGTAATTGCAGATGGTTCATTTGAGTTGTCCTGACTTCACAATATAGTCACAGGGCATGACACCTGTCGAGATAATCGAGACTTTTAGAAGTGAATCTGAACATCTTTTCGAGGACGATTGCCAATAGTTATGAGAGAGACATACAAAGGGCAAACGATAGAAGAAGAAGAAGGAACTGAACTGGAAGTCCTCCAAATGGTCAGTACTACTCAAACTATGAAAGTGTGTGTGTGTGTGTGTGTACGTACGTATAAGACATGTAGTCCTGGCCATCATGGACTCAGAGCTTTTTGCTCCACACAGATAATTAATATTTGGCTGCACAACTCCAGAACTCAGCATCAGACGGCCATAACTGTTAGTTGGGAGTTAGTAGTTCTTTTCGAGAGTCCCTCGTGGAGATTAAAAAGCAAAGTTAGCTGAGTCTCTGCATAGGAGGACACCTATGGAGAGGGCAGCGGGCAGCTCACCTTTAGTTGGGTACAAAATGCGGCCGCGTGCCCTTTGAGGGCCGGGCCGCGGGGTGGGACGGCACCGAATGGACTAGACCAGCGTGTAGGACTTGGAGTAAGCCCCCGCGCTCTGTTTCTGCAGCCGGCCCAACGCGGAGGAGCTGCTCTCCAGCAGCGAGTCTCTGGAGCCGCCCATCTTGTTGCCGCTGTTGGTGGGGTTACTGCTCGTGCTGGACGTGGAGGCGGTGGCCGCCACGTTGGAGCTGGGCATGGTGAGAGTCCTCTGGGGCAAGGTGGCCGTGCCCGAGCCGGCACCCAAACTGCCCAGTCCGGAGTGGCCCAGCGTCAGCGCCTGCTGCTTGGCAGAGTCTAGAGTCTTGTGGCGGCCCTGCGTGTGATACGCACGCTGCGTCAGGCTGCGGATGGACGCCTCCCGCGGGGGCACGGCCGGGCAAGGATCGTGCAGTTCCCCTTGCTTGCGGAAGAAGGGATCCGTCTTCATGTAAAGGGGGAGGTTGCAGAATTCACCTGAGAAAAGCCAGTCAGGTTGTTTTTTTTCTCTTTCTATCTGGATTCTTTCATTCCCATTACATTTTATTAAATGCTAAACTTTTTTACAATTACAAAAAATATATATTATGGTATTCCCCCTGCTCTTATGGAGGACAACAAAACCCCACAAAAATGTTGCTTCAAGATGCCACAAAATAGTGGCATATTATGCTTTACAATCCGACAATGAACATATTACTGTATTATCTGGTTTCTACTTCATTTAGTTCCCTCAAGTACGGAAATATAGTGTTGCCCCACTTTTTGAAGACACAGCTCGCTCTTGCCAATCGCGAAAATCAACAAGTAATTGATGGCCACAACTATTAAATTTTATAACTGTTGCCTATGGACGCCACAAAACTACATGAAACTCCCCTACTGACTTCAACATAGTTCCTTTGTACCAAGATGGCGCCACAGCTATGCTTTTATAAGAGGCAAGGCCAGAGCACAAAATAAGTGACCAGTGACTAATTTTAGAATGGGGGGGGGGGGGAGGGGGGGAATGGGGTTACTTACTTTTGTTTGCGCGATGAGGAATGGGCACAGCCACATTTTTACCACGGTCGTAGTCCTGCGGTTTGGGCGGCGAGGCGGTGAAGCGGCAGATGCCCGGCTCGGACGGCGTGCTCAAGGAGGTCATGCTGTCCGCTGGGTCGTTGGTGCCCGTGGTCATTTGGTCAGAGGAGCTGTCGGAGATGAAGCACTCCGTGATGGTGAATTTGGCGTGCTGCAGGTGCTCCTCCAGCTTGGCGTGCTCGTACGCCCTGGCCAGCTCCTCGTAGGTAGACGAGGCGCTCTCCGTAGACACCATGCTGTTACGACCCTTATCTGTAAACGTGCAGACCAACGTTACGTTAACACGGACAATAGCGGTGTGTCGGTGAGTGTTAAAAATTCCCCGATGTGTCTCGCCTGTGTCTTGGGAGAGGCTGGCGCTGTAGCTGTCACTCTCAGTGGCGGTGATGCCATGAGAGCCCATGGTCCGCCAGTCTGAGGTCAGAGTTCGCGCGGAGGCTGTGGACTGGCTTTGACTGGGTCGGCTGAGCGTCCACTGACTGGAGTATCTGTTTCTGGAGCTGTGGGCTGATTTGATACTCTTTCTGGAAACAGGGTCTGAAACATGGTCCAGGTGATTAGAGCGGTGATTGTCAAGCCATGTGCTGCATCACAGATCACCGGGTGTGCCGTGCAGAATTACCCAGGGTCACTAATTGGCCCAAATTATGCCAGTGACATGTAGGTCCCTTTTTTCGTAGACAGGCGCATGTGCACTTGGCGTAAAAACTGGTGCACACCGGACAATTTGGTGACAGAAAGTAGACGTGACTTTAAACCAGGTCTAAATTGTGGAGCAGCTGGTGCACAATCTCTGGTTGAAGGTAGTCTCCCAGTGCCGACTTAGCTTTAATCATCCGCGAGTGGAAGTCTTCTTGCAGTACCTTATAAACGTAACTTGCGCGCGCCAATCTCCTGCCCGGACGCCAGCGAGTCCTTTATGCTTCCGCCACATTGATCGTGAGCCTCTTTAATTGGCCGGGAAACAAGTCAGCTGTGTTCAGTCTCACAACGGCGCAGACGCCCATTTCTAACTGTGCCCGTCTACGGAAATCCCCCCCAAAAAAGAAAACTCTACCCATGTGCACACGTGGACTGCACTTTGTGCTAGGCATGAAAATAGGGCTTATAGCGACATGCGGAACAACTGAATGTTCTTCCACTAGCTGGCAGAAAGTAGACAATTAACAGAAATTTGAGAGTAATTATTTCAGTATACTTTTTGTGACATTTCTGTTTGGTGGTGTTGCTGTGTGATTTTTGGAATGTAAAATATGTGCCTGGGCACAAAGGTTCAGAACCCCCGGTGTCGAGACCAGTTTGACACGTCATAACAACTGAGACCACTCACTAGTGCCAGGACGAATGTCAGACATGTCAATCAGAGGTCCAGAATTCTGGATGAGGGCTTGATGGTGAAGAGACACGCCTGTGCAGAAGTTTTGCGGGTTGACTGATTGGCTGAACTCTGTGTCTGTCACTGGCACCGCAGCTTTGTCCTCTCCTATTAGAGACGTATCATGACAAAATCTGATGGTTAGACAGGCGGCAAGTCGGGAAAAAAACAATTACTCTGCATTTTTTTTATTTTTTTTACTTCCAACCTTTCTACCACAAGTCACCCCTTATTCAGCTGGGTTGGGATCCAACACTCCGTTGATTTTGCACGAAATAATAAGCAGTATACAAACTGGACAGATGGATATTTGTCACATGCGCACCTATTTGTTTGATGCCTTCCTTGTCCTCAATGAGGAGTTGAACGCGGGGTATGTCAATGTGGAGCCGTGGCCCCTGCGGAGGGCCCTTCACCGGAGTGTCAATACTGCGATTGTTCTTACTGCACACAAAAAAAGTGTGTTATACTGTTTATTTTCATCAAGTTGAAAAAAATAATGTCCTTCATAAAATAAACAAAAGCTTTAACTCACCTGATGAGCATCTCAGCAAGGCTTTTAGCATCTATGAATAGGAAAAATAATATTGGGTAATACATTGGCGTTCGTAACAAATTTAATTTCAAGGCCTCGTTTACTTTTCCAGTGTTTTTGCTTTACCTCTAAGTCGTTTCAGTCTCTTCTCTTTACGCTTCTTGCGGATAATGAAGAGCAGAGCAACACCAATGGTGACCAGGATGACAGGAGAGCCGATGGAAAACAACTTTTTCACATCGTCACCCTCCCCACGGGCGGATTTAATGGGAGGGATTGTGCCTGTTGTGGGAAACGGGAATTTAGCAGTGTTACACATTAAATTCCGTGAAGGCACTGGGTAGGAAAGGGAGAATCTATCTTGCTATTTGCAGTGGTGGTAAACAATGAAGTGCCCCCGCATTATGAAAAATTATCATGAGCAAAATGGATATCGTATACAACTGAAAGAAAAACAAAACTCATTCATACTTTTTCACATTAGTAGATTTCAGACTTAGTTTTTGTTTTTTTTTTTTTTAAACACTAGTACCAGTAGTTATGCCAACTCGAGCTATTTGTATGGACTCACAATGAATCAGGAGATGCCTTTGAGATACTTACTTCCATCGTAATCGGTGGTGGCAAACTGGAAGCTCTGGTTACCGCAGCCAGCGCTGTTGCAGGCCTTCATTTTGAGCTCATACCAGGTTGCCTCCCGCAGCTCACTGAGGAAGAGCTGAGTAGTGGAATTGGCTTTCAGGCTCTGCCAGGCCCAGGTGCCTTTGGGCCTGAAATCCAGCATCATATCAGTGATGGGGCAACCGCCGCTGGTCCAACCTTGCAGGTTGAGGCCTGCATGGGTGGAGTTGATATGGGTGAGAAGCGGCTGGTCCTTGTTGAACACGGGCTCTGTGGAGAACAAGAGTGGTCAAGAGAACTGTTGAATAACATCAAAGTGTCCATTGCTATACAACCGGTCCTCACCTCTGCCGTGTGTTTTGGCTTCAATAATCTCACTGATGCGACCGGAGCCCACGCTGTTCTTTGCTGCCAGTTTCACCTTGTACCACGTTCCACAGCGCAGATTGTCCAACCTAAAGGAACGTTCGCTGGAACTGATGAAAACGTCCCTCCATTCCTCGGTGTTGTCCACTGAATACTGAAGCACGAAGCCTACACGGTTATACCAAAGCTTTCAGTTAGGCACAAAGCGCATGAATGGAAAAAAAAAAAAAAAAAAGATATCTGGAGTTATATCTATTGACCACCAGGCGGCAGAAGTCACCCGCATTTGGATTACCTCCTACTTAGTTCAGAAGCTGCTTATATCATAAATACATGACGCTGATTTACAGCGTAAATAATGTGTCCCAGATCATGTATTTTCCACATTCTGTGACAGAAGCATGATGCGGATGTAGGCGGCATACCTCTGATGGAACTTCCACCGTTGTCCCCCGGGATCCAAGCCAGGGTGATGGAAGAGGTGGAAGTGGTGGAGACAGTCAGGCGGGGCTGGTCTGGAGGAACTAGGCGGAATCACACAGGCAGTGACTTCACATGTGAGCAGAAACTATATGAAGAATAAGTATCATGTTTTCCTTACCTTGCACTACGAGATTGACAATGATGGTGTCAAAACCAAGGGTGTTGGTGGCCGTGCATGTGTAGTAGCCCGAATCTTCTGCTTTGACGGAACGCAGCACGAGCGTGCCATTGGATAAAATCTGCCGCTGACTGTCAGCTGTCACTGGAATGGCCGAGTCGTCGCTGACAAATGACATGCACATTACAGATGTTAACAACCTCACCGTCAACGCTTAGAAATGAATTCTGTCAAGCAGTTGTTGTATCCTCCCATTCAACTGACAGCATAAGAAAGACATTTGTCTTTTTTAATCGGTGGCAATTAAAGGAATCTCAAATCATATCTGATTTGAACAAATGTGTCATGATGATAAAGTGTAAAATCCCATTTTCAGTAGTTCACTAGCAAGGACTTGGAACCGGAGACTCATAGTCCCGCTGGGGACACAAAAAAAAACAGTAAAAAGGCAGCTAGCTGTTGCAAAGATGCTCGTCTGATTTCTGGCCCGCAGCTCAAGAGAGGCATGTCACTCTGACACTCTGGATTATAATCCATAAAATAAATTTAAAATCATCCATCCATTTTTGATGTTGCTTATCCTCGTTAGGGTTTTGGGTGCTATCCCAGCAGACTTGGGTGAGAGGCAGGGTATGCCTTGGACTGGTCGCAGGACACCCACAGTCACACTTACATTCAGCTTGCTCATGGGCAATTTAGAGTCTTCAATTCAAAAGTAACGTGCAAAAAAAAAAGTTTCATAATTTTGCTGCTGTAAATTGGGAATTTTTCCATTGTGAGACAAATGAAGGTTTTCTTATCTGAAATTAAATTAGATGAGCAAACGCCAGATCTGAGATTCAAACCCCTTGAACTGTAAGGCAGACGCACTAACCACTAGGGCACTGTGCTGCCCCCATTCATTTTGACACACTTAAATCTCTGACAATGCACGCTGTTCAGTGATCTGTTCTTTTTTTTTTTAAGTTTGGCCCAGACAGTTGTATATGCTCAACAGACCTGTCTTTGGTCCATTTGATGGTTGGTGCGGGCTCCCCCACAGACTTGCAGGGCAAACGAACCTCCTTCATCCAGGGCGTGGTCACCGTGCCCCCAAAGGACAAAATTTTGGCTGGGACTGCAAAGCAAGACACAAAGACGTCCCGCAAAGTGTTTGACAGATACTTCACCCCCATCTTTTGTTTGCTTTACGACTGGCCCAGTTTGTCTGAGGGGAAGGCCTTTATTCATTGGCTGAGCCTCCTCGGCTGACCTCGTACTTGCTCCAGTCTATCTTGAACCCATAGATCCTCCCTCTATTGATTCCCGCCTGCTACTACCTCTCTCCCCAAGGGTCATTTTACTTTGGACTAGATAGGCCCTGTTCATCACCACATAATTAACAACAACATTTCTCGCAAACATAGCCGGCACTCAATCAATACCACGGCTGTCAATCAATAGCAGACCGTGTCGACAGAGCGAGGAGGAGGGCGAGTGATAAAAGTGATGTGTGATCGGGAGATCATGTTGCTGTTTAATAGCCATCTTTAGGGCGCTCCGGCTCATAACCTTTACAAGGCCGGCCATCATGACCCACCTTTTCCGGCTGGCTCCACGATGACCTTTGAGCTCATGTTGCCCCGGCCAGCAGTCGTCACGGCAGCGGCCCAGATGTGGTATTGTTTGCCTCGGCTCAGGTGCGTGATGTGGTAGAAGAGCATTTCCGGGTTGGCCTCGTACTCACTGGGAGCCTGAGATGGAGTTTTGCGTTAGAGGATAACGGATGGCAAATTTCACTTGATTTCACTTCTGCCGATCACACGTTCATTCATGGCGTGCTCAACGTTACAGAGCTCACATCGCTCGTGAAGTAAAATCTTTTTCACAAACATACTTCAGATTCTGAATCTGATGTGACATATTGTGCATAATGACCTTGATCATCTTTCAAATTAGATGTCATTTTAAAGTGACTCGCAATTATGTATTGTATCGCATTTGTTTTAGTTTGTGGTATAGAAAGTATAGAAATATACTGAGATGTTTCTGACGTTTTTTTATACACACCCACAAAAGTATTTATTTGAATTAAAAAAAAAAAAAAATTATTGACCCTCTGAATTGTTTGTTGAAAAATAATACACGTATGAAGTACGCTCAAGAATCACACAATCAATGTCAATCAAATATCAACATTATTTATGAAAAGGCCCCATTTTTGACACAGCTTTCATTAGACTTTGCCAGTCTATATAATGTTTGGTTCTAAGCGTTTAAGGAATCTACCATGTACAAATAAAATGTCCTTTATGAAGATTGGAGGAAATAGTGTGGGGGTGGGGGGGGGGGGCGAAAACCACCACATAATTTAATTTGAACTGTTAAAATTATTTGGACTGTTCGGGCTCTGTTGCAAAAAAAATATACTGTATTTTGATACCTCGATACACAACCAAATGTGTTCATGCGTCTTAATTTCCAGCAGATATATCCCGAGAACGATTTTCACACTTGAGCCCGCGGGCACGCAAACGCACGTATGGCGATGCGTACAAAACACGGCATTCTCTCAAGTCAATCTGATGTTGTGTCTCTCTAATCTGCTCATCTCTTCGCCGCTCATCTTTCGTCTCCTTCAGAATTTGCTTTCCCCTCTTTCCCTCTCTGTCTAACTCGGTGAGAGGACGGAGGGACGCAGGGAGGGAGGACGCGTGCGCGTCTGTGTGCGTGTGTGTGAAGGGGGGTGCGAACATTCCAACAGAATAGCGGCCGTGTTGTGGTGATCCAGGGAGTGATACAGGGAGATAATGAAAAGACGGACAAAAGCACTCTCATCTCGATGTGACTGATACCCTCCTCTGTCCCCCCCCCCTCCTCTTCCCTGCATGTCTGTCACTCTACCCCCTCTCTTTCTCCCCCCCATTTCCCCTCGGTCTCTGCCTACCTCTAATGGTGTCTTTCTTTCAGCCGCCCTCCCTTCCCCGTCTCCCAGATCGTGCTCATTTACATTGCACTCGTGCACCAGAAATTGAGGAGCATTTTTGAATAACAACAAAAAGTGAGAGACATCAGAATTCACTGTGTGATGTGTGTGTGCGCGCGCACATGATATAACCAAAAGTGAAAATGCCACACGCGGGTGTATAAATAGCAAATGGCTGAAATGTGATGTCTGTGTGCCTCTCTGATGCGGCAGTGTGCATGTGTGAGCTTGTTCTCTGCCTCATTTGCATATCTACGTCTCATCACGTTGCCAAGACAACCTCATCTGTTCATCTGGGAGGGCAGGAAATGAGGCGATGGCGCAAACACGGTGAAAGAGTGACAAAAAGACACGCAGACAAACACACACGCATTTTTGCAGGTTCCCTTAACACAATTTGAATCGGTGATTAGATTCGTAGCAAGCTTGCAAATTCTCATATTGTCTGATATGAACGCCGCCCCAAAAGCATGTTCTTCTGTTGTCTTTTGAGTCGCTTACCGGCTGTCTAGACCCCGGGCTGGAGCAGTAAATGGTGTACTTGCGGATGACACCATTAGGCTTGTGGGGAGGCAACCAGGACACGACCACGCTACTAAGAGACGAAGGAACTGCCTTGATGCCAGCCGGTGGGCCGGGAACTACAGAAAACATGGAGGCAGATTAGCAGGGCATGCATGTACTGCGTATTCACGACACCCATGTGTGTTTTCCTGCACTATCCTTTCCATGCTGAGTGTCGGGCGTCTATTAAAGTGATCAGGCTTGTTTGCAGCTTTTTAGTCTTATCCCTCACTAATCAGCTTCGGAAGGACTGGAAAGAAGTGCCTTTGCACGGCCAGGGGTGACATATGTTCATTGAGACATTTGGTCAGCAGTTCTGACACGGTGACACCCAGCGTTCTCCTAACTCGCAAACCCACAAACAGATTAGACACTAATGTCTGATCCTCTGTCAGCCACTTCAGCTTGACACTGGATGTAGCTTAATACGCTCAATTGCTAGTAATCAAGCCAAGGACTCAAGGAGTTTAAAATGCATGCGCACTTTACAGTAAACACACGATGGCGCCGGGCAGCGTGTGAGTGAGGCTTTTGTCTCCGAAACTATAGAGTGAAGGGTTCACAGTGTCAAACCTATTCAATTCCAGACATAAATATTAGGCGTGCCCGACAGTGGGCCTCATCTCGGGGCTACAGAAAGAGGCACTGCAGTGTAATGCCAAGCCTCTGTAAATCCATCACCGATTCCTTTTTCCCCCCGAAAACGTAGGCCTCCCTGATCCCGCTATTCAGCCAGTCAGTGACTCGGTACTCAGAGAGGATGTAACAGGGCAGCTTTTACAAGCGAAGGCAAGGGTGAAGCATTTGATAGCTGCTGATCCCCGGGGGAGTGAGGATGGGTGGCAACGGGGAGGCACAATGTCATAAATGAACCTCCATGCGAGAGTAGTAGAGTGGGTGTGGCAGGAGGTCAATCCCATCTGCTGCCCAGAATATCTGCCAAGGATGCCACGCGAGCAAAATATTCCGTCGTCCACCATGTGTGGCCCATGTCAGGATAAGGAGGAACAGCACAAAGGCACCTACATGATTGGTGCATTATGGCCCATTGTACTGATAAGGAGAGAGACAACTGAGAGTAAAAGGCACGGGGGGTCCTCGAAACACACAATAGGCTGGATGATGTTTCTTCCTATCTTCAGCCCTTGTTTGCCACCCATGCCCCCCCCCCCCACCCGCCTCTATACACAGTCGTGGATCTGACAATAATCCTGCCTCCAATGGTGTAAGCACAAAATTAATTCTTTCTAATCCAAGAGGAGTTAATCCTTATGCCTATGGCAAGGGGGGGGGGGGGCTGATGGAAAGGATGCATGGCTCGGGATGATGGTTGACTGCTATTAGCTGCGAGAGAGAGACCCCACCCACCACCACCACCACCACCAGCAGCAGCAGCGGCGGCTCCGGCGGCTCCTCCCGCCAGTCCTCGCTCAGCCCTGGGCCATGTACCCAAAGCCTCTTAATTCTCATTAGCACCACTAATGGAGCTTCCTAGCATAAATGAGCTTTTGTCATGTGTTCGAGATACACCCAACACCCATTTCTCGCCTCCCCTACCTCTTGTAATCTCAAACACATCAGTTGTATTATTCCTTTTGTACATTTTTTAACACTGGAATGTATGGGAATAAAATCATCTTTGTAAATTTCGTGTATGTGTGTGCACTCACGATCTTCACGAGTTTGGATGTGCAGCACATTGCTGCGGACCCCGTCGCCAGCTTGTGTGTACGCCAGCACCTGAACACTGTAATTGGTGAACTTCTCCAGTCCTCGCAGCTCCACCTGCTCACGTGTGGTTGTGATGTTCTGCATCTCTCCCCACTCTGACAATAATTGAATGATTTCATTCATTAATGCACATTGGCTGTATTTTCTTCGTTCATAACAGTACAGTGAACCTCCACATATTTGCGGTTGGATTTGCTGATTTTTTTTTGGCATCTCTCTCCTCCCTTATTCGCCAATTCTTTGTTTTTCTGCTCAGGCCTAAAGCAATAAAAGTAGAACGTTGGCACCATCTTGGCATCCAGCAACTACCAACTACGTTGAAATGAGTTGAGGAGTTTCATTGAGACAAAAAGCGCCTTGCTGCTATCTTGTGGCTTCGTGGTGTCAAGGAACTGGGTTGAATTGAGTTGAGGATTTTTTTTTTTTTTTTTTTTTACATAAATTGTGCGTTGCGGCCATTTTTCTATGGGCAAATTTCTCCTCATAGTGTAAGTTCACTGCACACAAAGGACACAAGTACAAAAACAACAGGAGCTAAAGTATTACAACTCAAACCGACATTTTATGATTTTCAACACCATCTACAACATGAATAGCTCCGAAATAAACACTAACATTAAGCGCTACTCTCTACAACAAGCACATACAGCATACGACATGTACACACAAACACATTTAACGACAACAAACACATCAAAAGAGACACAGAGAGAGGAAGTGCTTGATGAGGTACACACAGGTCAACACGTCAACGACATCGACAGTATGGTGGGGGCGGGGATTGTTTGGTGAAGTTTAGAATGATTTAGATGATAATTACTCTGCATTGGCCATTGGGCTCGGCCCCCACAGCACCCACCTCCGTCGGGGAAGAGGGACCAAAACACAACCCGGTAGCCTTTCAGCACACCGTGCAGCGTCAGCCGTGGAGGCTCTGCCCATGTGATCACCGCCTCATCCGACGTGACCGAGATGGCTCGTACGTTCTGAGGGGGTTCGCTGGGCACTGGGGACATAGCAGGGGGGGAGGAGTGTTAGTGCTGCACCCGGAAAAGATGGGACTTTTTAGGTTATCGCTGTAAGGCGTGCGGGTTATTGCGGTCGTTAAAATGGCCCGACGGAATCTACGTAGCGAGTCTGCTGAAGCGCTTGACATTTGAGGGACTTCTCAAGACCGCGACCCACAGGCAATCGCTGCTGGAATAAATCAGTCAAATAAGCTCAAATGAGCTCTCGGTGGCTTCGTGTTCTGTGCGCGCTGTTAAAGAAATGGAGGAGAAGAACGGGGACGAGAGGTGTCTGCAGGAGGGGGTGTTGATAGAGGACAGGAAGAGAGGGAGATCCGAGTAGGAAAAGAGATGCACCTTAAGGGGTTCAAATGCAAATGAGTAGGGTGGGGTGGATAAAAATCGAGAGAACGCCATTGTTGAATCGTTGTTGTAATTGCAGTTGTGGTGACAGATACATTGACGACCTATCTCAGCGATAACAACATGATGATTCATCCCGCCGTCGACACACCACCCACAGAAGACAGGCGGCGTTATGGCTGAATGAGAATCAACGGAGGAAAATTAAGGAACATATTTGACCCAGATTGACCCCAAGAAGTGTGTGACTATGACAAACACAGGGTGAAAAAGGAGCATAATAACGTTTCTCCCTTGGCTTCCACCAGCCAACGAGCGTGCTAATTAAAGAAGAGAGAATCATGGGGGGGGATGTGCTACAAATCCAATTCAACCATTTTTAGCGTTCTTGTGCGTACAAATGCATGTCGGCGTTAGATCTTCCTACTCCATTCTTGCATTTTGTCCATTTTGTCACCGATCGTGTTTTCCTTACCATCTTCCAGTGTGGTTGCATTGATCTCCGTACTAGAAGGCCCCGTCCCAGCCCTGTTGAAGGCCTGGACCACCACTCCGTACTGAGCAAACTTCTTGAGGTTGTCTAGGGTGTATACTTCGCTGTCTCCGGTAGCTTTCATCTCCACGATACTATATTGGCCGTTGCTGCCGGGACCGTTTTCTCTGTAGCCAATCTGGTAGCCGCGGATAACACCGTTCTGCAGCTCCTTCTTCGGTGCCTTGAAGAGATGCGTTGATAAAATTAAAATGGACTCATCAATACTAATACTTGGTGTGTCTGAGCTGTGAACGCAAGTGAAATCTCACAATCTGCACATTTCTTTCAGTATAAGAGCAAGGAGAGTGGGAATTTTTTTTTCCAAACACAATGCAGAATCAGTGGCTTCTCCCATCAACTTCGACAGTTAAGATAACGCATATGGTCTGTAATTTACCCTCCATGTGACCCGAATGCTCTGTGATGTCATGGGCTGCAGGATCACATCCATTGGCGGCCCATCAGGCGCTATTGAAGGCGAGACATTGAATAGATTAAGAATGTCAAAATTCGGAGGTTTTTCTTTTTTTTTTAAACATGAGAGAAAGATCACTTACGTGCTTCTTCTGTACTGATCGTCAGCTCTTTGCTTGGAAGGCTACGGCCTATCTTGTTGTAGGAATACATGCGGATGCTGTACACACAAGCCGGGTGCAACTCGACAATGTTGGCTTGGTTGTTGGTGGGCGAGATGTTTCTGGTTGTGTACATATGATCCCAGGAGTCTGAAAAATGGAGAAATTTAGATTTTTTTTTTTTTTAAACGGATCATCAAAACTAGTCACGAAGGCTTTGATTTGGTGTACCTACCTGACTTGTTCTTGTACTCAATGTCATAGCTTGTGATGATGCTGTTGCCATCAAACCTTTGGATCCAGCGTAGGTTCATGCTCCTATCCTTCACCTCCCTTACTTCCAGCTCAGGGGGATCTGGCGGTTCTGTGCATAGGTAAAAACAGAATTTGTCAGACCAGACACCTCCGTTCGATTTCGAGTCCAAACAAGAGTGCTGTCTTCTTCGCTCTGAGACACGATACCTTGCACAGTGAGTTGGATGAGACCTCGACCTTCTCCATAGGAGTTGATGGCGTGACAAGAGAAGAAGACAGAATCTCCTCTGTCTGCGGGGTTCAGCTGTGAGCATGAAAGATTCTAATTAGCAAAAATCACAAATGACAAAAAAAAAAAAAAAAAATACACGCCAGCATTAGCAACTCCGGAACATATTTGTCACTTTTTGTCTTTCATTGAGTTGAGAAAGTCTATGCCAATTCTTAGAGATAATGCAGATTAACAGCTAATCTTTCTGTCAAAATGACTCTGTACAATTGAAACAGTTTTTCTCGATACATACTCCTGAATTATTTATGTATTTCATTATTTAAAAAAAAAAAACAACATAATTCTTCCTCCCCGGCCGCACACGGGCATAAAGACATCAGCCGTGTCATGCACAACGCGCTCAATATTTGACCTTTAGGGTGGAGATGACTTCATCGCCCTTCTTGTTGATGGTGATTGAATAACGGGGGTTTCTCTCCGTGTCGATGACCGTGTCCCCTCTTTCCCAACGGATGATGATGGGCTGCTCGCCTCGGGCCGTGCAGTTCAGCTCCTTGGTCTGGCCCTTCCTGGCCATGGTGGTGTTGGGGTGGCTGGTGATCATTGCGGGAACTGAGAAGAACCGTCGAGCGGCGTCAGTGTGACAAATGGCATGACACGGCATAATGAGACGAGGGTGCAGGGAAGGAGTGATGGAAACCGAGAATATATTACAAACGTATCGCCATCTCCATTGCTTCCCCTCCGCATCCATTTCACGCTTTAAGCCCCGCTGGCGGCATCTTTCGTGCCTGCCTCTTTCCACACCCTCGCTTCGATCTCCTCTCCGCTCAGACATGGATTATTGATTACAGGGGTTCTTGTGGTTTTGTTTTCATCACTAATTCATCAGTGCTTTCCCCACCCAAAACAACATTGAGCAGTACACAGACAGGCGGATGAAACACATCCTTCAAAGAGTTAATCGAGCCCTCGTTAAGGACAGAGACATGGTTTTGATTAGGTTCGGTCCACAGAATACTACCCTTGGGCAGAAATGCATCGATTACGAGTCAATTTGCCCACCAGAAATCTCAGGATTACCTCGGTGAAAAAAAAAAAAAGAAGCTGTGTTCAAACCAGAGGAAATGATTGACACTTACTCTTGACAGTGAGGATCATGCTTTTACTGATGTCTGAGCCCACTCCATTGGAGGCCTGACACAGGTAGTATCCGCGGTCATCCTCCAGCACATGTCGGATGAGCAGCGATCCGTTTGACATGATCTGGATGCGACCAGTTAGCGGGACTGGATGGTACTGCTGGGGGTTTCCTACACCTGCACGACCAAACGCTTTTTTTACTTTCTTCTTTATTTGAGCGGCTGTAGAACTAACTGCTGGGAATGCCGCAATGACTTTACCTTTGGCGTGTTTCCACATCACCTTTGGGGGCGGGTAACCCTCCACAGAGCAGTTGAGAACTCCGGCTTTGCCGTAGATGCAGTCCTGGTTGTTGGGCTGCACCACAAAGCGCGGTGGTACTGAGAAACACAAAGTTGCACTCAACTTATTTGAACTTAGTTCCATGAAATGGGTGAGTCCCGAACATATCAAAGCAATTTCAGCTATTTTGAGCTGATATATTAATGCCTCACCGGTAACAATGAGCTGTCGCTCCCAGCTGACGGTGGCGGCAGCGTTGCTGGCGATGCAGGTGTAGTTTCCATTGTGTTTTAGTGTCACCTTGGAAATTTGGAGGGAGCTCATGAACTCTTTGGTCTCGATCGCAACGCCAGAGGTGGGCCCGGGCACGATGAGCTGGCCGTCTTTGTGCCAGGTGATACGTATGGGCATGTCCCCGGATGACACGACGCAGGCGATGTAGATGAGCTTCCCCACTGAGGTCGAGGGGATGTCGAAGGGTTGGATGAGAGGTGGCACTAGGGGAGGGAGAGAAGAACAGCTGAAAAATGACAGTGGGTAGATGCGAAAGAGCGGCAGCTACACTGAGAGAAGGTCATTGGGGGCCCCCTTCTTTGCCCCGTTACCCCCCCCCCCACACCCCTGCACCTCCAGCCCCTGCAGCCCCTAACAGCTACTCTACAGTGGGTAGATGCGAAAGAGCGGCAGCTACACTGAGAGAAGGTCATTGGGGGCCCCCTTCTTTGCCCCGTTACCCCCCGCCCCCCCCACACCCCTGCACCTCCAGCTCCTGTAGCCCCTAAGAGCTACTCTGGGTAGGATCCAATTGGCAGGAGGAAGTCATTCTGTTGCCATAGTAATGGAGGTTGGCGCGGTGGTACTACAGCTGAGACATCTGGGGGATTTAATCTAGGCTTCATTATTATTCATCTAATTAAATCAGACACACGCAGGCGCATGCACACACCCTTAAACACCTCTGCAGCTGCCCAGCCACTGTCGTTTCCCCATTCTTAGACAAAATGAGTCAATAAGTCTACCCTTAAAACAAGAAATATACCCAAACTATGGCGATTTGAACAAAGTGGCTCTTTTGTTTACAAGGGGGATAATAGGGCACGGACCATTTTTTGCAGACGGCATCCCTGGTCAACCAAAACGGCAACAAAACAAAATATCCCAGCAGCTAAAATCCTTTCATCAAAACGATCTCACAGCTGAAAAAGCATTTCAGTCGTTGTTGGCCCCCCCGAGTTGGCAGGTTTCGATCACATATGCCCCATTCCCCAATAAAAAAATAATAACATAAACAGTACTAGTCATGGACATTAGGCGGTTTGAATGGCAAACTGGGTGCGAAAAGCACTGTGCCTTGAAACAGAAACTATTCAGGCATGGACAGGCTAAGGAAGTCACTCACTCACTCAAAGACGGTACTAAGACATTCATGGGAAAGTTCATCCCTCATTAGGGTCGCAGGTGAGCTTGAGAGTATTCTTTAAAGCAAAAGAATAGGTTAACTTTAGGTTAGGAGATGAGGTACAACCTCGACTGGTTGACAGCCAATCGCACGGCACCTAACTGAAAAGATAAACTACCGCACACACAGCCACATTCACAACTACGGACAATTTAGTTGGAGTCTTCAATTAATCAAACATGAAAATGCCACACAGGGAGGCCGAATGGTCAGAACTGTAAGGCGGACGTGGAAACAGCATGAGAATGTTTATTAATGAATCACTCCTCAGTGTTACAACGAAAAGATCATATCGGACAGCACAAACTGCAAGATGTGGTTTCTTATCGGTATAGACCGGAACGGGTGCCCCTGTTCTGCATGAACAGTAATGTACAAACCGACCTCTGAATCCACTTACCTTTAACAGTAACATGCACGGTCTGGTTGATTGACACCTGGGGTTGGATCAGAACACTACAAAGGTAGGTGCCCTCATCAGCACCCTTTTGCACGTCCGTCAGCCGCAGGGTGCCATTGTCAAACAACACTTGGCGGTGATTATCGGGCAGCTGCATGCCGTCCTTCAGCCACTTAATGGAGTAGTAAGGGTACCCAATGACACGGCATGTTATGTACGTGTTCCTGCCTGCCACTGCCGTCATGTCCCGCATGGGTCTGATTCGGGGTGGACCTGGAGACACGGGGGAAAAGAGGGAGGGGGTGGGGTGGGGTGGCGGGGCGGACACAGTGGTCGGAAAGACGGGCCGATGAGGTGAGGGAGGTCGTGGCAGAGAGATGGAGCAGCCATGGAAACAGAAGGTGAAGCGATAAAGGTCGATGGACAGAGTGATTGGGGTAAATTGAGAGATTACAGGGAGGTTAGTTTTGCTCCCTTTGCTAAAATTGAGTGAGGATATTTGTAGTTGTTTTTAATTACCGTAACCCTACTTCGAGTGTAAATGAAGCACAGTGGTACCTTGACTTACAAGTTTACTTCCTTCCATGACCGAGCTTGAAACTCATATATCAGATCAATTTTCCTTTTTGAATGCCAATAATCCATTCCAGCCCCTCACACGACCCCCCCCATAAAATGTTATAAAGAAAAATACAACTGTATCGAAAGGTTATTCTTGTTAACAAAAACAGAGGAAATAACTATAATAACTTGTGAAATAAAAACGCGACTACCCACAACAAAAACAACATCTGACATTTATAAAACCGACTACAACCAAAATTTCCTTTGTTTTAACCTTTGTCAATTAATTTCATGCATCAGTATACATTAATGGGAGTACCAACAACATCTGCACATAAAACAATATTTACCGGTCTGTAGTCTGTGTGTGTGAGCGTCTGGGTGTGAGTTGTGACCTATAGCAGCTCCTTGCAATGTCCTCATTTCATGTGTGTTTGACTGTTTGGCACCTTCAATAAATGACTGCATCTGTATTTTTTCCCAAGCTACCAATTAAAATTTTGGCTTGCAGCACAAAGCGCAAAAAAATAAATAAGCCAATTGGCGATGCGATGACTCATAACAGGAAAAAGCCGAAATTGGGCCACCCGTAAGTCAAGGTATCAGTGTATTTACACATCGCTAGAACTGAGACATCTATCACTAGCTGAACTGTTGTGGTATAGAATGGGGTGTTAGAGTGCATTTATATTGAAAAGCAGACAGGCACCTCTTACGTTTATGCGCGCTTGGTACTCGGCGCTGCCGGCCGAGTTGCGTGCGACGCAACGATAAACTCCCCCGTCCCGGATGAGCGGGTTGCTGACGTTGACGTGGGACACGGTCAGGCCGTCGGACTGGGTGTACTGGCTGGTCTTGTAGGTGGAGTCTCGCACCACGGGTTCGTCGTCGAGCGTCCAGGTGATGGAAGGCGGCGGTGCTCCTTTGGCCTCACACACGAGGGAGAAAGGCTCGCCGGGGTTCACCACCTTCTCGCTGAAGGACGTCACGATACGAGGGGTACCGTCTGATAACAAAAAGGGGCAAAGGTGAATCACTTTTTAACATCTCTCATTTGCACAGAATCGGAACTTGTTGGGGTCTCTTGCGACATACCCTCGAGCAGAATGATGGAAAAGTCCTGAGATGTGTGGCCCTTGCGTGAAGCAAAGCACTGGTAGGCCCCAGAGTGGAACTTTTGTGCTGCGGTGATCTGCAGGGTGTCATTGTGTTGACCCTGGATGGAGATGTGCTGGTCGGGGAAGATGGGTTCCGTGTTTCGGTACCAGTTGATGGTGTATTCCGGAGAACCTTCCACAGTGCAGGTGAAGAAGAGTGTGCTGCTAATTCCCGTTTTCAGGTTCTTGGGCGATAAGGTCACTCGAAGTGGATCTGAAAGAAAGACGTACGTACCGCAAATGAAAACGCTCCATGTAGAAATCACCGGTAATTGAGTTTGATGCCTAATCTACCAAAAAAAAAAAAAAAAAAAAATTGTGGAACCAATTCTCTCATCACGTCGTGACACGTAGATTTATGATCACAGTGTATAGTTCCATTCGCAACGCAGGGTTAGAAAAGGAGCGAGGGCACAATCAGCAGCGCCGACTCAATCAGTTGGACGAACTCATTAAAAAGCAGCTGGAGATATCGCTTCGCATCTATGTCCACTTATGTGTGCGCGCGCAAATGTCAGTGAGCAATAAGGCAGCTGGTGGTGTGTGCTGGGGGGCATTGCTGTGCCTTCCAAGCACTCCCTCCCCCCCCCCCCTCCCCCCCCCCCCCTTACCCACCCCATCCTGTCAAAGTCACAGAGTGTGCTGCCATGATGTGCCCAGTGGCAAAGTTGAACGCTTCCCCATTCTCTGCCCGTCTCGTCTTTGTTTAGTAGTATACTTACACATTTTTTTACCTCGCAGTTCGAAACTACTATTAAGGCGTTACTTTGTTTATGTCATTCAGGCCCTGGCCCTGCTGGGACATCTGCTCATCTCGTCGACAACCCCCTGGTCTCGGCCACCATTTTCCTCACCCTCCTCCTCAGTGATGCTGAGTCGTGTTGGCAGCTGTGTTATGGCTTCAGTCGGAGGAAATTACATCCCTGTCGCCCACTCTGTGACCTGACATGTTGGGGCATCATATACAGTAGCTCGCACGGTGTTTGTTACAGACACTCGCGCAATACGAGTGCCTGAAACCAAAAAAAGGAGAGGACTGTGTGAATGTAATTGTCTGCCAGCTGGAGGAGAGAGAGCGCGGTAGTCTGTCAGTTTGTGTGTGTGTGTGTGTGTGTGTGTGTGTGTGTGTGGTGCTCACACACCTATTATGTGAAGCTGTCCAGACACTTCCTTCGAGCCAAAGCTGTTGGTGACTTCGCATGCATAGTTGCCGCTGTCTTCCTGTCGCAGGTCACTGATGGTCAGCCCCGTCAAACGCCGTGTCCAGCGGGCGTCCGAGGGCAGCGGTCGGCCATCTTTTAGCCAACGCACAGTCGGGCTGGGGTAACCTCCTGCTATGCAGGGGAGCTCGATACTCTGGCCTGCATACACCTCCCCTGATTGGAAACTGTCCAGGATTGTGGGTGAGGACTCATTGGGGTCTGGAGGGTCGAGATCAAAAGATTAGATAGATTTGGAGTTAACCAGAAATGCATGCCCAAGATCAAAATAAAACATAAATAAATTGTGACTTGTGTTCTGTGTGTTAGGAATTGCGGTACAGCAATTACAGCAACTTTTTGTTCTGCCACAAACTTGTGTTCTGTGTGTTAGGAATTGCGGTACAGCAGACAGTGATTATCCCCTAATTTTAAGGTGCCAAACTTGTTTTCATTTGAGCCACAGTGTCGTTCTGGTGGCCCTCAGGGGGCACCACATCCATTTTTAATTGGGAGTTTGTGTCTAACAATGTGCCAAAAATCAGGGTTTGGAACACAACTTGGCTTTCAGGTCATGTTTCTGTTCACATGTAATCATCTAAGTTGATCTATTGTGCACATATGTGATACTCTTTTCAAAATAGAACAACGGCTTAAATCTTTTCTGTTTAGGAAAGTGAAGCGTCAATCGATTGTCTTCTTTTTAGGGAAATGAATGCAGAGAAATGTAACAGTTGGAGCCCAGTGAATTGTTGGCATTTGCTTTTACTGGATAGCAAGATCATGAACGCGGCTGTTAAAATGCCACAGTAGTTGGCCATGCACCACACTGGTATAATTCATACTTGGACTCGGCATGTGGTTCGATTGCGAGGCAGTTGCGTTTCTTGTCTCATCATATCACATAATTGTGCCTGTGTTTAATCATAATTTTTTTTGCTAGTTTTGAATAAGCGTGGAACGCTTTCCTTGTGCCTCAATCACTGTGGGGCTGGATGTGGCCCTCTGGCCTTCACTTTGACACCGACGCCCTAAGAATATTTAGACAGAAAACCGGAAGAAGCTCTCTCTCTCTCTCTCTCTCACCCATTACAGAGAGCCTGGCTCCATTGCTTTGGCGCGTCTCCCCGCTGTATTTATGCCTGGTAATGCACCGGTAGGTGGAGAGGGCATCCTCCTTCTGAACATCTGAGATGTATAGAGCGCCAAAGGAGGTCAGCAAGAACCTGTTCCCTGGAAGAAAAAGGGTAAAGAACTTCAATTCCTGAGAAAAAAAAAAGGACTTGGTAATTAACAAACATGCCATTGCCAAACCGTCCTGTTCATTTTGTTGACTTGGAGCCACGTCTTCTCCTTTCGACCCGAGCGACAGACCAACAGCTTACCTGCCCGCATTTGGGTATTTCGCAGCAATTGTGTTTTCTCAACAAGTGCCATGTTTATTGGGGTAGAGCAAATGACTGCGCCCCAATCATTTACGACATGTTTGCAATCGATATTTAGTAGGACCCCCGTGAGCCGACGCAGGCTGCAATTTCACTGCCGCCTTTGTTTGGCCCCCTGCAAAGAAGTCCTACGGGATAATGACTGCTTTAAGAGCGCTACTCTCCCAGCAGTGACAAGTGGCTTGTCAAAACGCTCCGACGCAAGGCAGAGCGACGGCCAGATCAGCGGGATGTGTCAAAAGCACAATTTCCGGCTTTTGCGGCACACTGAATTCATCCCATTCCGCGGATTCAATCACATGATTTCCCTTAGTGACACTGTCCATCTCGCACGAGTGGCTTGTGTAAAAAAAAATTCATCTATTTTACAGTCGGTTCTCATTAGGCGACTCCCTCATTTCGTTTGTCGCCGTGACGCAGCCTCCTCCTCGCAGTCTCCGAGCAGAGTGGCAGACGGAGTAAAATATTAATTACTAAATCACTGCGCCCCCTTAGCTTTTATCCCGGCTTACTTGACACGCCAACAAGAAACAGAGCCAATGTCCACACCCACACCCACACACTGCAAGTACAAGTACAGAGTTCACTTCCTATATCACGGTTCATTATTTGTGGCCCCCGCTGCCACACCAATTTTCAAGTCATCGTTTCTTAAATGATTTGATTTTATTTTTTACAGGATACAGGCGAGTCCAAATTTGGGGTTGCTCGCCATCGGTGTGGCACCATGTTGTTCTGCAACATGTGGGGCAGCATACTGGAGTGAATGCAGTGTAATTAAGAGCGAGACGGGGATGCCTCACCGTGTTTTGCTGTTTTAATATTGGTTGTTCCCATCAAGCGGAGAGAATATATGCCCGCGAGTCGTGTTACTGCTGCGGGTATGACAAAGTAGCAGTTGTTAGAAGGAACAATAAAGAATCGACGTTGGTTTCCGGTACCCCATCTGCAGCAGTTTACATTATAGGTTATTATTATTGAGCTCGCAGACTTTTGTTCGATTGAATGACATGATTCGGTTGAACATTTCGGTGCTTAAATCATCAATGTTGAATTGGCTGGAGAAGCGAGAGCATGAGAACAGGGACGAACAACTATTTTTAAAAAGTCAACCGGGAATATAAAAGCAAACCAATTTTAACTGTTTTTTTTTTTTTTAATGGGCTCTCTCAAATTCATGGATTTTCACCTATCACAGGTAGGTCAGGAACACATCCTCCGCAATAAACCGTAGTCTGACCTGCGTAGGAGTTGACGTCTGCTAATACAGAACACACACACACACACACCAAGTTCACATACGGTCTTTAAAAATGGACCCAAAAGTCTTTCCGTGTTGATGTGGTCATGCAAACTACATGAGCAAATACTTTTTGTTCTGCCACAACCAAAAAATAAAATAAAATAAAATAAATGTTAAAGTCATATCTGTAAGGTTTAATGAGAACACATTTTCATGAAATCGAAGCTGGATTGTTTTGCTTTTCATCATAAGAATTCAGTCACTAACATGGCAAAAAGGTAGCAAGTGTATATATAACACAGTGCTATTAAGGGCCGTTTTGGTTTACCGCAGATAGTTTTATTCAACAGAAATGGCTCTATAAAAAGTCTGTTCATCCAGAAAGAGGCTGCGTAGCCTCCAGGAGAGCTGACATTGTCGGAATTTTGCATGAGGTCCATTTGAGCCTCAATATAACCCATTAGTGGAAAGAAAGAATTTCCAAGGGGGAAATACTGAATGGAGTTTCTTGAAAGAGAAAATAGAATATTTTATCGTGAATTAATTGCTTACATTCGTTTGAGTGTGAAAAACATTTTCCGACCTAAATAAAAATCTCACAAACCATACAGTTGACACTTTTCGTTCTACTGATTTAAACCCAACTACCAAATAAAAAGGGGTCAGAAATCAACTTCAGTAGTCAATCCCCAACTGTATTTTGCCAAATGATTGCATTACCTCAATAAACCGCTGTTGTGCCATAAAAGAGTTCTCTTGTTCAGTTTTCTAATATGACAACACTCCCACGTCCTCAGAGACCGAACGTCCGCTGCGACAAATAATAGTGAGGACCGTAAAGATGAAATTATGAATGTGCACGAGAGGAAAAAAAAAACAAAACACACCACTGTCTAAAAATAGGATGCATACAGTAGGCCATTTTGGTCCAAGACCGTGTGTGTGTGTGTGTGTGTGTGTGCATATGCGCTGAATGTGAGCACAAGCGGGTTAGCGGCAGCCACATTTGTGCACATGCAAATGAAGGCGTCGGCGCAAAGATAACGAGGCCCATATTTCCACCTCCTCAGTGGGCCCATTATTTATTGATGCTCTGCATCTTTCCTCCACATACACACACACACACTCCTTCACACGTTCCTCATCCTGTCCCTGTTGCTAGGGTCTTCTCCCCGCCATCCTCATTCTGTTTTGGTGTCCTTTCAGCAGCTCTTAATAACAATTACCCGGAGCATGTCAGAAGTTCTTTCACCCTCCAGATGAAGATATGATTGACTCCAATTCATCTTTTGCCTTGATGGGCCTTACTTGTGTGAAGAAAACATCTCCCCTATGTGAGAATGATGCTTTTTTTTTTTTAGCCACAAGTGAAACGATTTTGCTCTCCTTCAGGCCGTATGATCTTTATCTTACTCAACGCCGATGCAGATAAAGGCAGTGAAGCTTTTCTTCTTGAAGAAGTTTCCCCACTTAAGCAGCAATGACTTTGATTCGCCAATCTTTATCCGTTGTCCTAACATTACCAGAGCAAAGACGTGTTTTTTTTTTTTTTTTATTATTCAAAAATTACCCAAGAGTCTATAGCTGCAAGAAAAAGTACACAGAAAATAAAAACTGTTGACTTTACAAAATCTCGTCATCCGAATGCAGATGCATTATTTTTTCAGTAGATGTACGGTCTATTTTTAAAAAAAATTATCTGGATCCGGATGACTTTATTTTGTGTCACCACCTGACGAAATAAAATGGAATAAATTCAACAAAAACTTTTGTTCGGTGTATGCGAACGCTTTGGAATTAGCTGGATTTTGGCATAAATTTGCCACAAAAAGTGATCTGACGTTTATTTCACAGCAACATACTGCAAAAACAGTTTTATTTCACCAACACCATGCAAACAATTTGCCTATGCATTTCCATGTTTTTAATTGCACAGAACATGTAAACGTTCCAATACGGAGTGGAAAAAACTGTATGTGGAACTTTGGATTTCATAATCTTACTTGAACATTGATTTTCCCATATATGATAAATACTGAAATATTTTTTTTCCTTTTATGTTCCTTGATTTTTTTTGAACAGTTTTTTTTTTTTTTAACATGAATTATAAAAGAAAGGTAAGAAAGTAAATGCATGTGCATACGCACGGACCCACAGCGGACAAAACACAACAGTGGTTTGTCTCCACCTCCAATTGGTTGAAAAACACGGCGATTCTTCTGAGTTTGACGTTAGAAAACTGCATTCTGTCGCAGAGAACAACCCGAAAGAAGGTGAGAATAGACGGGAGGAGGAAGGGATCAAAGAGGCGGGACTGTCATGGGAAGAAGTGGTGGGGGGGGGGGAGACAAAAAAAAAATTGGCGTATTCTGGAGATACTCTCTGTGGTGCTGGAATAAACTCACACGCACAAAAGCCATCAGCAACCGGGTTTAAAAATAGGACAAATCGTGTTTCTCAGTCGGAACAAAAACACCGTGCTGTAAATTGAGCGCCATGTAGTCGGTGAGCAGTTGTGGAAGTTGTAGCTGGAGCAGCTCCATTGGACGAAAAATAATAGAAAGGGAAGAACGGCAAAGAGAAAGAGCAATGAGGAACAGCCCATGTCTGTAAGCTCTCATCCTTTCAAACCTTATGCAAAAAAAAAAAATGTGTGTGTGTGTGTGTGTGGGGGGGGGGGGGGGTGCATCTGTATTCAAAGTGCACACTCACTCCACTGTAACACCGCACCCTCTCTCTGCTGCGTGTAGATTAAAAGCACAAGTAGAAGCAGGTGTCGGGCAATTAAATATATACACTTCTCTGGCTTTTATAGGGTTCCACACTAAACGTGCATGAATGCCATCCTCTCAACTCCTTCAATTGACATTCAAAGCAGGCCCGACTAATGTACGACGAGGAATCGGGCCTTGGGAGCCCCCCCCCCCGCTTGCATCTCCTCCATAAAAGAGACTTTGTTCAGGCGACCGAGCTGCTCAGACGGGGCAGAAGTCACGCTGCCAGTTAAGGCCACGCCGCATGAGCAATATCGGTCTTTTCGCTCTCG